ATGGATAAGATCTTTTCCCAACAGTGAAAGGCGAAAATCACTATGTAGTTTTGTAATCAACTGTCTGGTTCCGTAAACCATGAGGTTGGTTTTGTCAGGATTTAAAAGCAATAAATTCTGGAAACACCAATTTCGCATTCTTGTAAGATCATCATTCATGAGGTCCATGGCTAGATCCAGAGGGCTAGATCATAATCTCTAACAGGAAAGCACATATACAGTTTTGTATCATCAACGTAACAATCAGTTGGGCATTGCTGTGGTACTGATGGTAGGTATTGAATAGAAAATTCCATTTCCCAAGAGTGCAATGGAATACGTTCCATTGCACTCTTGCGAGTGCAATTGTACTAAGTAATACGTTTTATTCCATTGCACTGTTTGTGTTTTCGATAAATCGCATCCGTCAAAATGCTTCTCGTACGGTGATCGCAGTTTATTTTAACCCGATATTCGAAATTCATTAAATGGGATTTAATGCAAATACGACTCGTCAAAATGGCGGGAGCTTACAGTAAACCTTTTAATATTAGTCTATTTTGGTATTATATAAAACAAATAATGAATGTTTATGAGTGCAATGGTAAGAATATTTTCATGAGGTGAAAGATGGAATGTTCCATTCAACGAGGCGACAGCCGAGTTGAATGGAACATTCCATCTTTCACCGAATGAAAATATTCTTAGACTTCTTACCATTGCACGAATAAAAACATTCATTATTTGTTTTATATAATACCAAAATAGACTAATATTTAGTCCAGCGGAAAAGTGAAAAAATCATGCACTTTGTGAAGAAAGCACCCAATTCACAGGAAGTGTAGACTTTAACATGATAATGAATCTTAGATATGGAGGCATCACCAAAATTGATGCTGACGGCTTAAAATTTAGGATTTCTTATATTCTCTTATGAAACTCTATTACTAGTGTTTAAAATTGTGAAATTGCAGGTTCACATATAGGACAAATGACTTGCATGATTAGAAAGCTTACAAAAAACTACATATAAGACTTTTAAACGGCTGATTGATTTTCCAAGCGGTTTTCCAGTTATTGCTATTTAAAAAGTGATAAATAGGAAAAAAAACCGCCAAAGTTCTGGACACTAGCCCTAAAACATATATTCAACCGCTCATAACTCCAGAGGAGTTGGAAACTATCAAAGTAACTGCTTAAATGTCTTATATGCAGTTTTTTGTAAGCTTTCTAATGACGCATGTCATTTTTGCTATATGTGAACCTGCAATTTCACAATTTTTAATTGTATAAGAGAATAATCAGAGAATATAAGAAATCCTAAATTTTAAGCCGTCCGCATCAATTTTGGTGATGCCTCCATATCTAAGATTCATTATCATGTTAAAGTCTACACTTCCTGTGAATTTGGTGCTTTCTTCACAAAGTGCATGATTTTCTCAAACATCTGTGCATATCCGCTGGACTAATTAAAAGGTTTTTACTGTAAGCTCCTGCCATTCTCACGAGTCGTATTTGCATTAAATCCCATTTACTGAGTTCCGAAATTCGAATATCGGGTTTAAAATAAAATGTGATCACCGTACGAGAAGCATTTTGACGGATGCGATTTATCGAAAACACAAAGAGTGCAATGGAATAAAACGTATAGCACAATTGCACTCGCAAAGAGTGCAATGGAACGTATTCCATTGCACTCTTGGGAAATGGAATTTTCTATTCAATATCACGTGATCATAAACAGCCAATTAAACGACCAGAATTCAATAAGGTATTATATAAAAAAAACAAATAATGAATGTTTTTATTCGTGCAATGGTAAGAATATTTTCATTCGGTGAAAGATGGAATGTTCCAATCAACTCGGCTGTCGCCTCGTTGAATGGAACATTCCATCTTTCACCTCATTTGAGATCTTACCATTGCACTCATAAACATTCATTATTTGTATAATAAAACACTTATGAGTCTTATCGCAGCAATTAATTCTACAAACTGGAATCTTAAAACACCTATTATGCATGGCGTAGATTGTGTTTGTTAAAGCTGGAACGAGTGAGTTTAATTTGTGGCCTGGAACAAGCATTCTGTGGAAAAGTCGTTCACAAAGGGAAAGGGTGCTTCGGCGATCGCACAACGATGGAACGTTGGCGGTGAGCATCTCCTGACTCACTGTATATAATTAGGTAAAGGAAGGATATAGATAATTCGGAGAGCTCTTTTCTGGCTCTGCTCTTTTTGGTTATTAAGGTACACAGGGAGGTTGTTGTGCTACACTTCACATGCGTACTGAAGGATAGGTCTAACACACGTGCAATAGACCTTGACTGGGACGGAGTCCGAAAGGGCGTTTCTTTTCAACAGGCGCAGGGCGTATAAATGCTTGGAAGCATTCTTATACAGATTCCATTTACATGCAAGTTCCTTTTCAAGTCATTCAAGATGGTAACGCCTTGTAGCTTGGCATGCTTAACGATGCTTAACCAGCTTTAGCTGGTTTGAGATCATTTACCATGATTAAGAAAGTAAGGGACCTAGTTTTGTTCCCTGTGGAACGCCAGTTTGAATATACTTCCAAGCAGAGTAGTCCTGACCGATCTTTGTCCTCTGCAATCTGTTACACAAGAAATCGGCGATCCAATTAATGAGAACTGAGTGTACGGCCATTTGCTGAAGCTTCAGTCAGTAAGACGTTATCGATCCGATCAAAGGCTTTTGAAAAGTCTAACAGGCAAATAGTGTTTATAAAAATGTTATGGTAACACCAAACATTGTCTGATATATGAAGATAGTACTATCTTTAACATTTTTCGTTTAAAATTTTTATTTTTTTAACATTTTAACATTTTTTCTTTCAACATTTTTTCCGTACCTTTTTTTCGCTTTCAATATCTGATAAGCCTTAAAACGATATACAGTACATGCAGAAAAACATGCTTGCTCAATTGATCTAATATAAGATGTAGTTAACTTTTTTGGTGTCAACTGACGTTTTCATTCGCCTTTCGCAGGGATAACATGCCTGACTCTAAGAAAAAATTGCTTTCCGAAATAACATCGACTATTGAAAAACTGATGATCAGAACTACTGTATAGTCCCAATCTCGCTCGTTATTCTCCAGGATCTTCATATACTCCACGGTCGTTCATTATTTATTCTTGCGTTTGGAACACAAGAACTGAAAACTGTGTAACAATTTTAATTGCTCAGGAATGGCGCCGAAAACATATACCGTAAACCTCCAAATATAAGCCCCCCCCCCCTCCAAAATAAGACCCCCGTGTACAAGCCCACCATATTCACTAACCCTTATGCCATTCCGAATATAAGCTACCCCAGAATATAAGTCCCTCCGTGCATGTATAAGCGCATGGGCTTATCATTGGACAACAGCTCAGACGAGTGACGATAATTATATTACAGTATTATAACATGTTAACCAACTTGTTTTTATCATGTGTTATATATATTATATACTGTATGTTTATATTTCTTTTCATGGAATATATAGTTCACAGGTACAATAAATATAGACCCATTGCACTGACGTCACAAATCCTCAGAGTGTCCTCCAGATGCTCCCCAACAATATCTGTTTGGGTACAGCAACCACATCAGTACAGCGCAAAAATTAACCATTTTAATACAAAACAAGACGCCTACTCAGGCGTTCACTCCGGGTACAGGGCCTTAACTAAGCGCTAAGCTACTTTAACGTATGCTTAAATACGGCAATGAAGGTATCTTTAATGCATGATATTTAGCATATTAAAGGCACAGTTCAGCCTTTTCAATGATGGTTTTTAAGGCGCATTTCAGCCCTTTTAATTGAAAAAACTAACTAGGAAAATCAATTATACATAATTCAAGATCACCAAACTTAATGTTTTTAACATTTTAAAACATTTTTATTGTTAAAAACATTGAGTTTACTGATCTTGAATTATGTATAATTGATTGTCCTAGTTAGTTTTTTCAATTAGAAGGGCTGAAATGCGCCTTAAAAACCATCGTTCAAAAGGCTGAACTGTGCCTTTAAAGTTGGAAAAGTGGGAGAACTACAGTGTACCACTTGACCAGGTGACTAAAAACATATGCAATGATCATAATATTTTATAACATAAAAATAAAAGGACATTGTGACACTGATTATCTCTAATAAAAGCTATCTAGTTCTTTATTAAAAGTTCTATTTAAAACATGCGTAGGAGTGTTTTTTTCGAGTCGTATATAATAAGTCGGAGGCCGTATTTTACAAATATTTTATGTTTTTTTTTATTGTCGAGGGTAGAAATTCGAGGGTGAAAAGCTTGAGGCTACATTTTAATAATTTAACATAATAATAATTTAAGTTCGTGTTCACTTACTTTACTTTTAATTTTTAGCTCTTATTTTTATATGCAATTATTAATTTTTTATATGCGATTACTTTTTATATGACAAAATATTACTACATAAAAATAGACATGCCGATCAAAAGCTACAGTCGAGATAGTTTCAAACGGCGTGGTGCATTATCTGCGTTATCTTGGATTGCATGTCGCAAATTATTGTATTGTCTATTCGCTATATGGTCTATTGAATCAGAGTAAGGGGCGGACTTGTTTACACCTTGCCATTGCCATACGCCTTTTCCGGGTTCGCGACGCCATCTTCAAAGTATTGTTTTCGCTATTGTGCTTGCCCCACTTGCAAATTTATCTATAGGGAATGCCCGCAAATTTCTACCCTCGACAATAAAAACCATAAAATATTTTAGAAATACAACCCCAGACTTTTTATATATGACCCTCGACTTTTTTATATGACCCGCGACTTTTTATATATGATTTTTCGACCCTCGCTTCCCACCCTCGACCCTCGAGAAGAACTCCTGAAACTGAATTACTAAAAATAGCTAACGTAAACAAACCACATTTATCAAACACGCAAAGAAAATTATTTAAAAAGTAATATATTGTTAGTCGTGTCATATAGTTAATTGTCAACACTTTTTAATGCATGGTAGTAAGTTCATAACTGGCACCATAACTCATAATTAAGTTATGTTGATATTTTGTTTATACAGATTGATTGTTTTAATTTGTCAGGCTTCTGTAAGTTTGTTATTATCAAACGTTTAGATTGTTTTTAAGCATCCTAGTAATGATTTTACTTTAAGACCAAGACAATACAGCTGTCGAGACCGATTTTTAATACTCTATAAATAAAACATTAAACTGTGTAATAGACGTAATAGTGTTGGGTAAAGCTATCTAGTTATATATATTTTATATGCGCTCTTGTCTAATTCAAGCGTGGTAGACAATATTGCCAATATTGTTGTGGTTTGCGATATAAATTGCCTCGCGAATCGAAGACTTTCAGATATGTCATATGTCGAATAGATTTGTGCGTTGTTTGTACTTCAATTTTGGCCACGAGGCACAAAGGGAGACTTAAAGAACACGAGTGACGAGTGTTAACACAATTTAACTACGTACAGTGTTGACAAAATTAAAAAATACCGGGCTAACGTCAGTAACGAACCAAGCCAGTTGTCGATCAGAATTAGCTTTGCAATAACGGCAACCGCTACTAAACACGCGAGAAAGTCTCGAATTTCGATTTGTATTTATATGAACTGTGGTCACTGTATAAAAACGAGTGTATGAGAACCCCTCCATTTGATAATATTTACTGTAAATAGAACTAAATACATTGTAAACACAACGCTCGCTCCGATCTACTACGAATGGCGGCTATTTTTAGATATTTCGTATTTTTGTAGTGCGTTGCGTGCGTTCCGTACGGTTCACCTGTGGAAGTGCACACTTGTGTCGCCTAAGAAAAAAGATCTGACATTTTAATACTCCGGTACTTACAGTACCCGGAGTAATTATTATAAGTTTTACAAAATTTGCTCCGTTTACAAAAGTTATATCATGCATAGATTGCTAATTTGTCCTCCAGATGCATCGTCACCGGCGCTGTCACGTCATGTGCAATGGGTCTATCATATCACTAACATCAAACGTCGTCCGTATTTAAGCCCCCCCCCCCCCTCCCCGCGTATATGACCTCCGTCCATTTGTAAGCCCGTCAAAAAATGCTTACGAAAGAATATAAGCCCAGGACTTATAATCGGATCGGAGGTTTATGGTATGCTTTAATTGGCAATTCATATAAGGCCACATAAAAAAAAATAGTTGGTTAGCGTCCTTAGCTTTTGCCAAAAAGTGGGCGGGCGGGCGCTTTTTTTTTAAATTTTTACTAATTTTTAACGCCTTGGTTTTACTCACTGTTAGGTCCGAAACTGGATTTTCTTGCGCAGTACAGATATTTTTTTATATATTTCAAAATATGATTCATACCGTCATTTTCGCACGCAATTTCGCAAATTATTAACACAATTGACTACAGTCAACAGAAATACTACATATATTAGAGCCCGTTGATCAATAAAAGTTGTTTTTTTTAAATAAAAAATAAAAAAAAATCCTGAGCGGGGCCTTTTTTGTGGGCGGGCGGGGACGCTAACCAACTATTTTTTTTTATGTGGCCTAATAAGACTGCTGTAGCCGTAGTGCTGTAGTGAAATGAATATAACTGTAACGCTACCTCCAACCGGAATCCCGTCAATAATAATAATAATAATAATAATAAATTTATTTCTTATATAGCGCTATTTACAACAATTGATCAAAAGCGCTTCACAGAGTTAAGAATAGATACAATATTTACATTATTGATTATTTACATTGTTACTGATGAATTTATTAAATATTAACAGTCAACATGAATATGTATTCTTGAAACCGGCGCCCAAAGGCGGCCCCAGAGCTTTCTATTAATGCAATTGTTTTCTTATTTGAAAACGGCATGCTCCCTCCGGACCTCCTTTAACTGGTCTTGCGAGAGAACCGCGAGGCATAAATTAACTGAAGCGGATCTATACATGCGTGTCAGGCAGCTCATCTGAAGGTAGCGTTCCAGTTACAATTATTTCACTGCTGTAGTCGAAGCACAGATCTGCGTTTTTTTCTTTAATATATTTGTGGGTGGGACGGCTATATACCAAATACAAAACAATAGAAAAATTAATAGAAATAAATCAATTTAATGTATATTAAGTACTAGTACTGGGCTAAAAAGGACAAGAAGCGATGACCTAACCAACTTTTGCTTTGGTGCAGACTCAAAAGAACTTTTAATGAACTTTCTCTAAAGGTTTTTGTGTGCAGTGACGCAAATGAGGAGGAACGTGATTTGCTGCTACAAAATTTCCTACAATAAGAGTTCTTATTGAGAAATACACACCACATACAAACATCGTTACTCCAAACATAAATATAAGAACATCGAGCACAAGTTGCCATAATGTCATACGCTTGTAACACAACTTGATATGAAACACGGTCGGGAAAATCACTTCCAAACTTGTTCCTGTAACACTGCTGAAAAACGCTACCACTTGGGAAAAATTCGGCATGGCAGCGAGAAGAATTGTCAGTGTGGTTATAAGACAACGGTATATTACTTGGCGGGTGGAAAGACGAATATGTTGCTCTTTCGTATCAGCAGTTTTCTGATTATCTGCATAAAACTGTTCTAGTACTTCAAAAACAGTAAACATAGGAAGCGTGAATGATGCGAAAGATAGCATGGTCGCTGTCAAAGCAACTATAATTTTAGAAGGACCAGCTGGGAGGTTATTGGTTATGACCTCTTTTGTTTCAGGGAAGAAGGTAGCTGCTGCAATAAGACCCATGCAAATGTTAATCAAAGTCATCGTAATGAACGAGAAAACTAAAATTGGACAAAATCTCTTTTTCTGCGACATTGATTCTTCGATAACTGCCACAAAAGGCTGTGAGAAGTAACTGGACATCAACCACATAATAGCTACTGGAAATTTATCATCATCAAATGTAAGTAACACTGACCAGTCCCATTTATCAATATAGGCAACGCAGTACACTAGAACACTTGCAAATATAATTCCAGCGGAAACTATTACTACAATACTGCTCCACGCGACTTGGGATAAATTGGTAATAAATGCATTGGGCAAGAAAGGTAGAGCACTGAGTAGTATCCAAATCCATAAAGGTATTCCAAGTTGGCAGAAAAGTGCATCTAGGACTGAACCAACAATAAATGGATATAATGAGCATATCAGTGTTAGTTGGACAAGTTGGGTTACCAGAACTAGGGTGCCCCCTCCTTTCATCCATACAGCACTTCCAATGTCAGCAAACGAGCGACGAACACGCACTACATGTCCCTCGTCATCACAGATGTACATACATGCCACTATCAGATAACTTGTGTAACATGAAGTACAGGAGACTGCAATGAGGGAAATCAGGGAAACAATTCCACCACACTGGATCACATATGCAATTGAAAGAATTGGTAAACCTTGGATTGTGTTACAAATATTCCAAAATGCTTCGAAAGTTGTAATCTTCTCATATGAACTTTTCTCGGTTGCCTTTTCAATATTCTGCATCGAATCAGAACGAGTCAAAAACCTCGATCTACATTTTATTATTCACGCATTATATTGTATCACATTAACCGAGTAATATATATTACATACTAAAGTAGTAGGTATAAGATGTTCATCACTCGCAAATTAATGAAGATTCCATAATCATAAGTATGATTTGTATAATGTTGATATTGTTCCAATTCGAACAAAGATGAACAAATATGATCAATGCATACACCTGTTCAAATCTACTGGTATAGAAGAAAGATAGCTGTCACACTAGAAGCTATGCTAACAAACATCGAGCCCGGTTGTACTACTTCCGAATATGCGGCCCTGCCGGGTCAAAAAAATTAATTCTGTTTCTGGTCAGCGTGCGCGTCGTCGTCATCAAGCTTTCACTATGCACGTCAACGATTTTTTTACGAAAACACCTGAACATTTATTCATGTTCCGAATAATCCGACAAGACTACAATGTCTACAATGAACACGTTCAAATCATATTATCTCATGCATGTTCATACTGGTAAACCTCCTGGATTATGGATCGAAAGCTTTGCGAAATTTTGCACAAAAATCATTATCACCGTATACAAACTTACAATTACGGACTTATTATACAATTATTATTGTACACGAATATACAAAATACATTAATTCACGTTTTTCAACTGTTGTACCTGTTTTGACATTTACAAGCGCGGTCACCTGCACTCGGCGTGCGTCGTATATATCGTTCGCTTTCTTTCCCACAATGTACATGTTCGTATTCAAATTGACCGAGATAAATTCCTAATATATAACCTATCGAGGTAAATTCGTAATAACCCAGGAAAGGAATGATCAGTTTTGCAAGATGTAAGCTGCCGCATTTGGTATGCAGCAAAATTTTCATAGATGTCCTTATGTTATTGTTTTAGACGAAGATGGCATGCGTTCAAGAATATTGTTTACGGGTACGAAGACAAAACTTACAATTATCGACAACAACATGCACAAGACCGTTGGAAAATTTACGCTAAAGAAGAACAAAATAGACATGTCCATTTCTCTGAGAAGGAAAATTTTAGCGAGGTATTTGATGAATATAAAAAGTATTCAGAAAACTGGTGTAATTATTGCATACCAAACCGGCAAGTATATGAAGCGTACGGAATTGAATTTGAGAGCCGGGAAGAAAGGGATGCATTTGAAAGTAAAATGGAATGCATGGAAAAGATTCTGGAGAACGAACTATACGAAATTAGGCAACAGCATATCCGTCTTAAGGAAGAACGAGCTAAAATACCGCGTTTGAAGCAAAGAAATGGCGGAAAACTTACACAGAAAGAAGCAAATGTCTCCAGGAATGATTGTTCACCCACGCACGACTTACCGAAGACACGGAAAACTCTGGATGACACCAACTTTCTCAGGACAGATGATAATCCTTTAGTTGAGGAAGTCAGTCTGGTGAATGAGGTTCAGGATGTGCTTGAGCAGATGTGTAGCTTAAGTAGGGAATTAAAAGATATCGAGAAGATATTAAGTATTGAAGTACGAGAAAGGATATTACATCCAGAGCCACGTTTGATTCAGATCAAAGCACCTGAGGATGAACTTTCGGAACAGATGAAAAACGATGGAGGATTTAGGTATTGTAGTTCAGATAGTAGTGTACAAAGAATTTCATATGATACTTTACCTCCTCCGTTAACACTAAGTGAATTTGTAGCAAAGCAGCCTCAAGGTGATACATGAAATACAATGTCAGTTTAAGCCAATAAACGCAAATAAAATTGAACAATAACCAACAGAAAAAGGATCAGGTATATACTGTAGTTAAGATAGTATCGATGTCATACGAAACTTTACCAGATCACCAGTATACTTTACCTCCTTCATTAATATTAAGTGAGCTGTCGTCGAAGCAGTCTCACGGTGATACTGCATGAAAAATAAAATCAGTTTAATTCCAGAGAATATCAAAACAACAATAACCAACATTAAAATGGATCAGGATATTGTAGTCTTCCTTGATTAATCTGAAGTGAGCTGTTAGTGAAGCAGCTTCAAGGTGATTTTTATTAATAAAAAAAGCATTAAGGTAATTTTATACCAAAGCTGCAGGGAAAACAGAGTAGGATTAGGTGTTGTATACGCAGTAGCATCCCAAACTTTTACAAGATTCTTGCCTCCTCCATTCAGAGGGATATGAAATGCAACGTCATGTATGTTTATACTATCACACTGCATGTACAGTATATATATATATAAACTCCAATAATCACAAACAGAAAATAGATTCCAGATAAAATACTTATTAGATGTGCAACCAATCTCAAGGTCAAAGGGGTTTTTCTCATGTTGGATGAAAATTGAATTGCAACAAAGCAAAATACTTTGTAAAATGCAACCGAAAACCACGGCCCGTCGACAATTTCAAATAATATGGGTCGCTCCGTGATTACATAAACAGGCCTAGCTTGTGATTGGTTGATTAAGACAACAAAAGACAATAAACTATAGAAATCAGGGTCATGAACACTAAAAACGCGTTCATGTTATTATACACTATAGGTACTTACCCAAAATATATAAGAAAAACCGTAGTTATGGAAAACAGATTCGGAAGAATAAGGAAAGTCGAAAATTTACCTAGCTTATTCTTTAGAATCTGTGTTTTCCCAACATGGCGAGAATGACGTGAATACTTCAATTATATTGTCCAAAATTAGACAAACAGATAAAATTTTATTGTACAAAATATGCGTACATTAGAACTACCAGTTCATTATACACCGTCTATCTCATTGTCTTTGGGAATACTGGAAAAAGATCCTCATGCTGCGCCCTGATTTTCCGAATTGTTTCCCATCTCTTATTTTGTCTACGGTAAACGCATACTACTTCGGTTATAAATTATAGAGCTTTCTCAAGTACTTTGAAATTTATACATCTCCCTGACTACCCTGAGATCTTGCTGTATTTATTCATCTCCCCTTGTGAAAAGTCAAATAATGGATCAAAATTCAGTTGAATATTAATGAGTCATACAGTTATAATTTATAAATGCACTCATTTAACACAAGCATGTATATATTGCACACACACAGTCACGTTGTTGACTTCAGGGTGTTACGTTCTAACCCAAACATGTGGGCTCCGCCTTCCCTGAGTGGTTGGGGCCTAGCTGTACAGCCGCACCTCCCCACGGCACCAGCATTTACACCAAAAGCTGATCTAGGCAAATCTAGGCGTAGAAAGGCATAAATTTTGATTAAGGTGAACAAAAACATACGAAAATGACTTCAGTCAACCTTCCACATGCACTATATGTTTATTATCTATTATGTTCCATTTTATGCTTAAGAGACACGTAAAAAATGCATTAGGAATTAGGATATAGCAATATATTTGTCATGCAATGAATATGAATATAGAACAGAATATATGAATAATTTAGTTATACGATAAAAATCTTTACAAAGATTCCTTAATACTGTTAAAAGAAGTCCACTGCAGCAGGTCGCTTCCGTGGTTGTGATGAGCTTGCAGTAGTTGGCTTACTTGTTGATGTTGGTGGGGTTTTCAAGAAAGGTGGGGTTGTTGCAGAGTTTATTATATATATATAGTAGTATATTGAGGATTTGTCATTGAGCTGGTTTTACTGACTTATATAAACAAAATAGTGCACGTACTGCGTTTTCATTTTACTGAATTACTATTGGCTTGTTACAATCTACTTTCCCCGTGCAGTTTGCCACTCAAAAACGGCAGACAAGGCCTGATCGCATGGTGTGAGAAAGGCACTGAAATGAAATAACTGGAACGCTACCTTCAAATATACTGCCTATCTTTTTCTCGAAGCCAAATCTTGATCCGACGTGTTTATATCATGATTAACTGTTTGAGCGCTCTTCGCATGCGGGAAAAGACTGGGACAGGCCTTCAAGTTTGGCTTCAAATTTCCGGTTGGAGGTAGCGTTCCAGTTATATTCCTTTAAATGGAGAAAGGTTAATGCGTCATTTTTACGCCAATTAATCACGAAAACGCTGAAAGGCTACAACTTCTACCAATTTAACAAATAGATAAGATTTTGCCGTTGTCTGTTCAGTTATAGATACACAGTATCACGTCATAATATGGGAAGAACAAAAAAGTGGTACGAGCCGCCGAGGCGAGTGGGTCACTTTTTTGTTCTTCCCATGTTATGACGTCACACTGTGCATCTATAACTGAACAGACAACGGCAAAATCTTATCTATCAGTTGTTTTATATAATAAAAAGAAAACCCCCGAATTAAACAAGTAAATAGCTTACTTTTTATGCACCCAAACATTTCAAGAGAAAAGTACTATACCTCGAGTGGCTTGTATTCTTGGATAGTTCTATGCGAACTTTCTTCTTCTTGCCAGAATTACTTGCCTGATTTCTAGCAGTCTATAGTGAAATGAAGAAAAAAGCCTACAGATAAACATTGACGCCATAATTTAAAGACTTTCGGTTTTTTAAATAGTTCAGAATAATCCGGTAGTAGCGTTGAACATGTTTTTCAAAGGAGCAAGATCGGATTGAGAACAAGGATTCCATTTTCGTTGCGGACTCATGACATTCATCGGTGAAATGTCAGTCAACGCCTTGCCCCAAATCAGGGTTTTTCTGCGAGCATTCGGTTTCGTTCAACAGGGAATAATTATAGACAGAATGAGTTATATACTTATATTAATGATATACTCAAGCAAATTTACGAACACAAAATGGTTTAACTTTAGTCCTATATCACATGATCGTGATTAAATAAATAATAATATAATGGACGACAAACATTAGTGCGACTTGGAGTCCGGAAATGCGAATGCGGAGATATTGATGTCTCGAGGAGGAAGAATATGAATTATAGTATAAATGATATAATTTTTTTCATATTTTAAGGATGATTTTGCACTATTCATTATGATTGGCAAAATATGATCGCGAACATATAGAGTTTGTTTTAGAGGTTTTAAAATTATTTATTTCGACAAGGCAGGTGTTTCTCTCTTTCGTATATGAACTATAAGAAAGTTCATTAATTGATAATAATTAATATAAGTCAAAAACTCATTATTTTCACAGTGCCTTTCATCTTGATGAAACCTTTTCAATTATATTGAATCTTGGTAAAAATTTAAACAAGAAAATAGAAAATCGTTATATTTCGAATTTCAACGACATTTTATTCTTCAAAGTTCACGTAAAATGTATTGTAAGATAAAAATGCTATTTTACATAGCTCTCTCTAAAACGATCTAATTTGCATGCACGTATAAACATTTGACAATTTGTAAAGGTGGCTATACAATTGCTACGACTTGTGTTCTATTGGGTTCAGCTTACGTATTTAAAGATGATGTCCACTCCTGTGCACATGCGCGAACTTTGTTAACGTTTTGAACTGCTATATTTGTAAAATAAGATATACTAACTGAATATCTAACACTTCTCTGGTTCGCTATACTTGTAAATGAATATAAACTCTACGTTTTAATTCAAAAAAGTTCGAAAAATGCAAAATTTGGGCAATGTTTATATCTGGGGGTCCCCCTTTGTTATGAGCAGAACTGCATAATGCGCAGAACGGAGTGGAAATCATCTTTAAACTCCATGCTGTGGATTTCGTTCATCTTAACTTTGGAAACTGCACAACATAAAATTTATTTTGTTAAAATCTACTTTCTTTAAAACTATCTAGATATAGGCATCTATAGTATAGAAGTGGGGGAGCGAGGGTATATATAAACTCTCTTTATAGATTACAGAGCACGGCTGGTCGCAGCGGATATTTAATACAGAAGAGTGATTGGAAAGGTTGAACTCAAGATGCCTGCTGATGAAGCAAAAATTGTTATTTTGGTCTTCTTACAAATTCTATAAAGAATTCTTTGATTAATTGCAGTTCATTAAATGACGTATTAACAGAGCAATTAGCATTTTATTTTCCGGTCTAATTCTTTATGAGTGAAGGTTATTGTGACACACATTTTTTAACAGTCATATTGCAGCCTCTGGCTATATATGTTGCAGAGTCATTGATTCTTTAATCTTGTCGTATACCGCTGGGAACAGAAGTAAGTTTAAAGATTGGAATATATATAGAGAGAGCAGTTAGATCTAACATTAGTCATTACATTCATAGAGAGCTTATAGATCCTGAGCATGGCGATCGAAGGCTGACTTAGAGGAACGCGATTACCGTACTTACTGTTTTACATCACAGGACACTGTCACTATAGCATTTAGATTATCTATGATTTAGATAGCAGCTTGAGGTAGTAACACACGGGACTAAGGTAAAGCCTTTAGATATTCAAAAAACTTTCCAATATTTTGGGCCAAAAGTTTATTAGGATGTTCACCAAAACACTACTGACTGTTTATTAGGATCTTCACCAAATCACTACATGCAGTCTTAAGACTTAAGCTCGCGGATCAAACAACGATGACTGAATGCATGAGAGTTGGCAGTCACGTGACCTTGGTTAGCTGTTCTCAATGCTTTCCCATGAACATCATGTATTCTATTTAATTCAAACCATAGTTAGAAAACTCATCAAACCTTTGTTTTGTTAATCTATAGACTATAGCGTTTGAAATGTCGCTTCTAACAATAGCGAGCTTAAGCAAGCGACGTTCAGTTGACAGCACGAACGGCATGGGTAACGTGAAAAACACAGAATAAAGATCAGTGACATGCAGAAGGGCCACTCGGTGCAACGTGTCCTCGTTTTTTTATGCAAAAATATGCAGTTTATTGGCCAGAAGGCGGAGCAGCCAGCCAGTACAATCTCGTTACCCGAGCCTGCGATCCTCGGGAAGGAACACGAGGCTCTGGGATAATCCGTTTCAGGGAGGAATCTGATTGGCCGTTGATATGGAATGCGCAGTTCAATCTTAGCCAGACTAGCCAGGATTCCTGGCTTCCGGCAACGGATTATCCTAGAGCCTCACGTTCCTTCCCGAGGATTGCAGGCTCAGGGAACGAGATTGCCAGCCAGTACAGCGTGTTTATTGGCCAGAAAATGTTATTGACTGGCTGGGAAAATGGCGGCCAACATGCGTAATACGACATGCGCGAGGACAAAAACGTCAAAGCTTCCGACGTAAGTGGCCCTTCTGTATGGATATCTTTATTTTGTGGTTAAAAGACTGGGTCAAGAATGTTGGTTGGTTGACAACGTCAAAAGCGCGCTAATTCATGCCTGCATACCAGGCTGCATACACAGCACTCATCAACCTCGTTCCCAGGCTCTTTCCTCTACGAGGTTGAGCGCTCGTCACTCTCATCCTCGTTTAACCGCGGGGCTTTAATTACGCTGTTAGTTTTTGCGTTTTTCATTACCGGTATTTGTATATAAAACGGCAATATACATGGTTCATGTAATTTATGTTTCTTTGAAATGGATCTGTTAACTATGATATGATATACCCATATTATGTGGAATTTCAGTCAAATTTGCAGAGGTTTTTATGTAGACAAGTAAAGTGACACAGCTTTGCCCAAAATATCAAGTATATATACTATTTCCTCGGCATGTACGGATGGATATAACTATAAATATCGGTAACTAATATTAACGTTTATAGACACTGATTTGTCAAGCTGCCTTGCATGTGCATTATTTTAATAGAATTGTCTTATGAAAACCAATTTGAAGTCTCCAAAACATATTTAATGCAAATTAGAAAGGTGAAAAGACACTCAAATAAATGCATGAATATATGGCCTGGAAAATTAATCTCTTTAAAAAACACTATGCTGCATACTAACTGTTGCCACTATCATGCATGCATGCAGTGATTATCATGCAGTGCATGAGTATAAAATAATATGTTTATTTCTTATTTATCTAGTTTTTTGAGTAACAGTCGTATGGAATAGTTCTGGGAAAGTTGCGTATACTTGATTTACTTCAGTTTAATTTGGTTAACTGAAACAGGATTGATGATTTAAATTGGAATGTAAATTTCATGCAGTGGCAAAAAGATATACCGGGTGGCGCAAAAAAAAGTACAACTGTTTGATTACTTGTAACTCAGAAACAATAAGCAGTAGAACCATAAATCGAGTTTAATTGCATCCAGCGATATCTAACTTAAATTTTGGTATATTTGACAGGCATATTCGTCCAAGATTAACTGAGATATAAGAGTTTAAACTTTTGTTAACAATTTTGAAACGGTCACAAATTAGCTAAAAATCAGTTTAATAGGCCGTTTTTAGCTAATTTGTGACCGTTTCAAATTTGCTAACAAAAGTTTAAACACTCATATCTCAGTCAATCTTGGACGAAAATGCCTGTCGAGTATACCAAAATTTAAGTTAGACATCGCTGGATGCAATGCAACTCGATTTTGGGTTCTACTGCTTATGGTCTTTGAGCTATATGTAATCAAACAGTTATACTTTTTTTTGCGCCACCCGGTATCAACATATTCATATTCATCTGTGAAAACTAAAAGGATTGTTCTAAAGCACAGCCGCCACAGTTGCATGTCGGCTATATCCTCACTGAAACAGTGAAAACTTACATACATGCAACAGTACACGTGGATTTTGATTTGCGTTGTATTGCGTCGAGACTGATCACACAGCTTTCCAAGCTCCGAATTTGATTCTGGAGTTTTGAGTCAACAAAATCAGTCATTTACGTTTAATCATCGTATCAGATAACCTGGACAAAGACTACGATGTCTTCGGATTTAGGAAACATTTCCAATTCTTCAAGATACTTTTCATTTGCATGGTTCCGTTTTCCAATAGAGCCAGAAGAAAACATTAAAGTAATCGAAGTTCTTATCGACATCATTCTGGGAATGAGTTTAGTGTCAAATATTATACTATTCTGGATGATACGGAAAAATCCAGATAAAAAACCACGAAGTACTAAAGATCTGTTGTTGGCTAATCTTTCCATAGTCAACTTTTTAGCTACATTGTTTGGTGTGATTGCCAGCATCGACAACCACGTAAGGCCATCCAAAACGACCTGGACTTACAAAGCTGGGGCAATAATGTTGTCCATAGTTTTACCCAAATACTATCCAAGTGTGTTTATACTTACACTAACACAATATGACATGATTGTTAAACCGTTTAAATTTAAGTCAATGGATCCACAAAAGGTAAAAACGGCTATGATTTTCCTCGGTATTAATTGGGTTCTGACAACTGCTGTACTAATAATTATTCCTATCGTTTATGACGATTTTGATAAATACCTGAAAATAATGGTCACGGTTATTGTCTGTATTTCTTGGGTAATAACTGCATTCATTGCCTACATGTTCATACGTATCTTACACACGCTTTGGAAAAGACACAATGATCTTAAAAAAAGGTTCAATGTATCAGTAACACAGCAAGGAACTGTAGCTATCCGTCAAAATACCCGCTTAGCAAGAGTACTGTTTGTATTCATAGCAACCTTAGTTCTCTGCAGCTTGCCATCAAATACAACGTATTTGTTCATCATACATTGTTCACAATGCGATCAACGCGTTTTAGTAAAGGCTTGCCTGTATACATTACCATTGTTTTTGGCTCTGCAAGTTATTCTTCCGATTTATTGGCTTATCGCAACGCCAACATATTATAAAGAACTGAAGAGACAGGCTCGTAAACTATTAGTATTCTGTCGTTGTGGAAACGAAAATTGAACATCAAACGAATTCAGATAATTCAGTACCATAACACGTTTGCACAACAAAGGATTGAGTTGACCTAAACAGAGTGAAGTCTTCAGTAAGTATTCAGAAAGCGACTTCGTCGCAAGCTCCATGATTTATGGTTTTTCATACCTTAAGAACAACTAAAAACTGCATGCTTTAATTTTGGAGTTTAAGATATAGCAAAAGCACAAGACTTAGAATTTCAAATTAAAGACTTCAATACAATTGTTCACTTTAGGATAGGTCAATATAATTGTTTAGAATTCAAGACCTGGAACTGTTGGTTATTTAACCCCGCTCTCACAACTAGATTATAAGAGAGTTTACGACATAAGAGAGTTCGCCAATCGTCGTTCGCCAATTCTAAACCCGTCGCCAATCACGTAAGCTCTCCATGCAAATGCTACGACCAACTTTCAATGCGAGATCTCAAGTGAACTATCGATACCGACTGAGAATGAAAAATGGAATGAATGGAATATTTTTTCGTTCTTCTCGATCGCAGTGTCAGGAATAATGTCAATGAAACTGCTTTTCATATCTCTGAAGATGATTCTCAATATTTGGATGAATTAGCGAATATGTACATTATATCCAGAATTTTTCCAATTTATTTACCCTAAACGTTTGATAAAGATCAGAGCGAACGAGAGTGTATTGTAAAATTTGGTGTGGGAAAGAATATCGAACCTCAATTGAAAACAATATTTTAAAAATACTGTTCAGAAATGCTGTGTAACCATTGCTTAACCGTATTACTGGTATAAAAATAAATACATTTTACAAAAATAAACAGCAGTAAGGAGTTTTTAAAGTCTGCGAATAACATTATTTTTACCCTGCGTGCAGTCCCAGACTCCCACGCAAGCTACATTATTTTGGGTGCCAATCGCTGCCAGAGGACCAATAGTTGCATTTTCGCAACAGCTCCTGGTTCGGTCTAATAAATGTATAATAATTCCACTCGAAATTTCTATCTACAAAATACCTTCAACAATTAGTTATATCGAGTGACATGCCTGCATATGAAGTCCTGGGGCTGGTTGTATAAAACTCTGAATCACTTTTTTAATCACTATTTTGTAGTTAAAAAGTGATTAACTCTCAAATACGCGCTTCTTATTGGATGACGTTTGCACTTAATCATAGTTAACTTTAATCACTTTTTTATACAACCGGCCCCAGATATTTCAGCAATACACCTTACATTGGCATCACCTTAGTATTATAAATAAACTTGTGATTAGAGCTCGACAACTGGACTCTGTAGGCTGTAGCTCAGTTGGTTAGAGCGCTGCACCGGAATCGCAGTGCCCCAGGTTTGATTCCTACCAGAGGGCCTATAATTGCATTTTTCGCAACTGCTCCTGGTTAGGTTTAATAAATGTATAAAAATTACACTCGAAATTTCCATCTACGAAATCCCTTCAACAATTAGTTCTATCGAATATACTAGCCTCCTGCGCAGACTGCCCCAACGTCTGCGCAGGAGGATAGTGAGATACCCGAAATCCTGCTATTTCAATAATCGTTCAACAATTCCCTAGACCTATCACTTTCTTCCAATTTTGCACTCTATCCATTCTATTACTGTACTATAAGGTTTGTGTACTTACCATTTTTTTTCTTTCCTTGTGAGTTCTTGGTTCAGTATTAGCTTTTACCTTCTTCTGTGCGTGGCGAAGAAACACGGCCAATAGCATCGAGTGGCTTCCTCCGGTGTCTTAGTAATTGTATCAGCAGCTAAGCGTAAATCAGATTGACACAAACTATCTGCACTCGAATCAATTCTTGGCGTATCTTTAATTTTCATCTTCGTGTTATTTGTTTCTTGCACAGTTGATTTCTGAAATATTTCGGTTATGACAACGTTTCCCACCAAAGATGTCACATTTTGCTCCTGTTTCGGGAGTGTACTTAAATACGATCCGTCTAAAGAATCGCGGGTGATGTTCATAACCTCTGACCCTTAATTTCCTGACGCTTCTGCTTTTTTGGATAATTTATCTTTCACATAATTTTCATTTCCTACTGGTGCTATCTCACTGCTGTCCTGGACAACAGATTTATTCTTTTTCTTTTTGCTATGTTTATCTACAGTATCACCTCCTTGGGTTTCATCACATACTTTGTTTCCATTAGGTTTGCCTCGTTTTCTCTTCTTTATAGATTTCACATCTTCAGTTAGCGTAGGAATATTCTCTTCACTACCAGTTTTACTATCACCTTTCCGTTTCCTACCTTTTACCTTCTTCCCAGTTTTGCTCGTGTCTTCCACGCATTCGCTCAGAAACTGCTTATCATGTTCTTCTTTCATTTCACTATCTTCGTAAATGGCTATACTATCCTTTGCTAGCATTTGCCATTGTAGCACAATCCTGACTCAAAGTTCCCCTCTTCCGACTTCTTTTCTTCTTGACGCGTTCATCGCCAGCGGATGGATCCACGTCGCACATACGAGCATCACCTTCAACAACATGTTGTTTCCATTCTTCACCTTTCTTGATTTTTTTTTGTATGAACTTCACACTCTTTATCTTATTGTAGTTCAGATAGTAGTGTATAAAGAATTTGATATGATACTTTACCTCCTCCGTCAGCACTAAGTGAATTAATAGCAAAGCAGCCTCAAGGTGATACATGAAATACAATGTCAGTTTACTTCCAAAGTAAATAAAATTCAACAATAACCAACAGAAAAAGGATCAGGTATATACTGTAGTTCAGATAATATCGAAAGAATGTCATACGATACTTTACCAGATCATCAGTGTACTTTACCTCCTTCATTAATATTAAGTGAGCTGTCAGCGAAGCAGCCTCAAGGTGATACTGCATGAAAAATAAAATCAGTTTAATTCCAGAGAATATCAAAACAACAATAACCAACAGTTGATCTAGAAAAAATCTAGGCATAAAAAGGCACACGTTTTTGATTAAGATGAACAAAAACATACGAAAATGACTTCAGTCAACCTTCCACATGTATACTATGTTTATTATCTATTATGTTTCATTTCATGCTGAAGACACGCGTAAAAAACGCTTTAGGGATTAGGATATAGCAATGTATATTTGTCATGCAATTATGTTAAAACAGAATATGAATATTAGAACATGAATATTTAGTTATACGATAAAAATCTTTACAAAGATTCTTTAATACTGTTAAAAGAAGTCCACTGCAGCAGCTCGCTTCCGTGGTTGTGGTGAGCTTGCAGTATAGTTGACTTACTTGCTGATGTTGGTGGGGTTTTCAAGGAACTTTGAACTGGTTTCTTGTTTGCATCAAATGGAACAACAGGACTACACTTGAGAATTTGTCTGTAATCTGCAGAGTTTATTATATATATAGTATATTGAGGATTTGTCATTGAGCTGGCTATGTAACCATTTACAATGGGGAATGCGCGACTACCTCATCTCATTTGTGTCTATACGTTTTTACTTGCAAAATGTATCATATGTGAAGATTAGTTAGGAGTTAAATATATGGAAGGGGAGTACATCAGGAAATAGCGATGAAGAATATAAACCTATTACATGCAGGTGAACTACGTGAATACGTGAAGCGTTCCTCTTTTGAGGTTCTAACTCATTTGGAATTTTCCTAATTACCTTTGCAATTTTGAAAACTCTTTGCAAATCCCTCGAGGGAATTTAAAATGTTCCTATAAGCCAATTAAATTATGCAATGTGAATCGTTGTTAAAAACTATGGGAATTGGTCAAACGGGAACTTTCAAAAAATATTTATATAGTCCAAAATTAGACGCAGCAGTAAAAAAATTGTATCAATATAATACCAATCACACAGTTACTTGTCGCCAGGAAAATTGGCAGCCTGGAAATAAGGATTTGTTAAATAGGATTTTGATTCAACTATTTTATATATGCATGCAAAGCAATACGTTATGTATATAAATTTTGATTATAAAAAAATATTGTAAATTCCCTCATGGGATTTGCGAAGGTAATTAGAAAATTCTAAATGACTTTCTAACTGAAAAGAGGAACGCTTCACATCAGTTCACCTACTTGGAAACTATTTGGCGTAATTACACTTTCGTACGCTGCGCGAGCAGGCCTTGTCCGGAGGAGGTAAAACCGCACGGGGAAGTAGATGGCAACAAACGAAAGAGTGATTTAGTAAAGTAAATGTAGTACTTATATAAACAAAATAGTGCTGTGTTTTCATTGCAATCCACTTTCCCCGTTCAGTTTGCCACTCAAAAACGGCGGACAAGGCCTGGTCGCATGGTGTGAGAAAGGCATTGAAATGAATATAACTGGAACTCTACCTTCAAATAAACTGCCTATCTTTTTCTCGAAGCCAAATCTTGACCCGCGTGTTTACATCATGATTGACTGATTGAGGACTCCTCGCATGCGTGAAAAGACTGGGACTGGCCTTAAAGTTTGGCTTCAAATTTCCGGTTGGAGAGTAGCGTTCCAGTTATATTCATTTAAATGGAGAAAGGCTAATCAAGGGAGCACGCCAGAAATATTTGTGTAAATTTATACTAACCTTTTAATTACATGTAAATGTTTTCAATTTTCATCGGGCGCCATTTTGAATGTTGAAAGCGGTATTAGCTTATCGCAGGCGCAATAATTTATGTTCATCTTTGACATTAATTTATGTTACACGATGATACTCCGAAGGGCGACCGAGAAAGATCCGAAATTTAAAATAAGGCGGAGAAATAATAAAAAATAAAGAGGGGAGTGAAACGGCCGAACACGTGATGGGGTATTGGCCAATGACAATGCGTATATCCCATTTCGTTATCTGGCCATGCTCGTTGACCAAGAACTGTCGAATCTGAAATATATCAAAACTTGTATTGATTTGCATCGTTGCTCGCAAGCAGTGAATTTTCGACAGCAGAGAAACAAAAACATTTGCGAATGCTGGACACAAAATACAGTATTAATAATTCATGAAGGAAATTCAAAAGAAATGAATGTTAAATCAATGTATGTAAATCGTCGGATAATAGATTTGTAAATTGTCCTCATTAAATACATAAACTTCAGCTTCGATTTTCTCGGGTTAGACAATGTTTATTTTTAAAATTACTTCGCCAATGAACTCATATGATGGGTCGTTTTTTAAGCACGTTAAAACACGAGCAGCCGATGTTTATCTAATCTGATATACAAACTCTCGCCATTGTCCCCAATTTTAATAATATATTTTAGTATAATTACATAGGTGATTATTGAAAATTCTCCACGCTGATTGGTTGCCGTTGAGGTGATTATTACGTGATAATCACCTAAGCGATTTTCAAAATGGCAGCCGAAGCCTTTTTGTCAATTAAATGACAAAGAAATTGTGTATTTTCTTATTTTTTCCAAATAATCACCTATGAAATTATACTAAAACAATTATTCACCTCAGGCTCGGTGATTATCGTGAATAAAAACCTTGACTTCGTCTCGGTTTTTATTCACCGATAATCACCTCGCCTTCGGCGAATAATTGTTAACTAATGTGACTCGCTTGAACTAATTATAGTAGATCAAATATAAATCAACGGTAAATCCGAAAATAATTTTCTACAGTATATTTATCATTTATAGACCTGGAGCGAGGGAGATTCGGCGAAATATTACCCGAAGTGATAATATTTGGAAATATCATCACTGAGGGTAATATTTCGCCGAATCCACCGAGCGGAGGGTCTATAAATGATATATTATACCGAAAATTAAAAGCCTCAAAGTTGAAAATTAAAAACTTGACACATACCTTCGTGAATACGGTGTTTTATTTTCGGATTAACGCAAGTATCGTCGCTTTTCTTTCGAATCACATATCGTTTGGAATATTAATGACAAAGCTCCGGGTTTTAGGTTTGAAAAAGCCCCAGGTTTTAGGTTAAAAATTGAATTATTCATCACTCATTAATACTATTTATGTTTTGTCGGCCATCTTGTTGTTAAGCGTGTTGTCCCGCGTGGTCTACGCGAATAATGTTCCACCCCATGTTCCCCGGGGAACATGGGGTGGAACCATAGCTCAGTGGGTGGAACATTGTCAAAGGGAACGCAGGCTCGCTAATTGATGACGTAAGGCGTGATATCGCGATTAATTTCATGCTCACGTGGTACAAACTAAGCTTCCTCATTGGACAATTTGAATTTGAGGTATAATATTACATTATATTTGTTGTTCTACAGTATATTATATTAAAATACTCAGTGGTTCCTGTAATAGTAGGTCTCATTTTGTTTCCGGTTTGTTCCTAGCAACATCAAATGTTCCTAGCAACAGTCAACCAGCATCAGTGGATAATTAGTTCGGCCGTTTCACTCCCCTCTTTATTTTTTATTATTTCTCCGCCTTATTTTAAATTTCGGATCTTTCTCGGTCGCCCTTCGGAGTATCATCGTGTAACATAAATTACTGTCAAAGATGAACATAAATTATTGCGCCTGCGATAAGCTAATACCGCTTTCAACATTCAAAATGGCGCCCGATGAAAATTGAAAACATTTACATGTAATTAAAAGGTTAGTATAAATGTACACAAATATTTCTGGCGTGCTCCCTTGGGCTAATGCGTCATTTTTACGCCAATTGATTACGAAAACGCTGGAAGGTTACACCTTCTACCTGTTTAACAAATAGATAAGATTTTGCCGTTGTCTGTTCAGTTATAGATACACAGTATGACGTCATAATGTGGGAAGAACAAAAAAGTGGTTCACGAGCCGCCGAGGCGAGTTATTATACTAGAAGTTACTATCGCAAGGAAAATGCTGCCTCAACCCGTCTTCCATCACACAAGCACGTAAGGCACCCTTAAGACACCAGGAGGTAGGAAAAGTGCAATTTGAATACGAAAACAGCTTGCACAAAGTCGAAGGTCAGCTAGATATTCTAATCATAAAGATTATAAATAACACTAGAAGAGGCACTGTGGTCAAAAATTTGGGAACACGTCTGTTGGGGGGGGAGGGGGGGGGGACAAATGTAGGTCCCGGATATAAAATCGTGCTCTCACCAATGGGAACACAAGTACACATGCAGGAATTTGCCCCCAATAGCAGGATTCCTTTTTTGCCTAATGTCAAGATTGCGATGCTTCTTCTAGTGTTATTTATAATCTCTATGATTCTATTAAATCCTATTGACTTCCAAAAATTCCTTACTCTTAAAGAAATTACTTCCTTGAAAATTCCTTCGTTCTAAAAAAAGGAAGGACTTTGTGAAAATCTACAGGTCATGCTATGCACATTTTTAATGGTTAATTGGCAATTTTAGCATGACCAGTTGTCATGGCTAGCTTGCCACTGAATACTGTACAATAACATGTATAACAAACAATAATAATACTTGAATGAATCATTGGATATGTAGAATTTAATTAAAATTTCATACATAAAAATACTACCAGTAAGGGCCTGTTCATATGGGCAAAAGTTATCCGTGTTAGCGAGAAAACTTTTCAACAAGTTTACAAGCGAGATCTCACCTTGGTATGAAAATAATATGAAAAGTTACATTGCGTTCATATGAGACAACAACTTTTTCCGTGTACCAAGATCTCGGTGACCGGGATGTTTTTCCCATATGAACACAACTTTCCCGCTTAGCGGGATAACTTTCTGTTGTGTCAGCAACTTTTCAATTCAATTCATGTTCAGCGCTACGTCACAGCCGGAAACTTTACCCGGTAAGCGAGGTAAAGTTTCTCCATGTGAACAGAACAAAAGTATTTGGCTAGTCGAAAAGTTTTCTCCTTAGGCCCTGTTCACATGAACCCGGGACAGCGTTATGTCTCGGGGCAAGCAATTGTCGCGGGACAAAAATTGTCTTGTGTGAAAGAATAGTGCTGTTCACATGATATTTTACTTGTCCTGGGACAAGAATTGACCCGAGTGCCTCACTTCTGTAGACAGGGACACTCGCCTTGCTGGGACAACTTTTCCTCATGTGAACACTGTCCCGGGATAATTGAATTTTGGTGAAACGATCAAAATCGCGGCTAAAATTACATTTAGAGCACGTTGGACTCCACAAAAACTTGTAGTATTTGATTGACAATATCATTAGAAATCTATAAGTGATGATTCTAAAAATATTGAAATAAAATTGTCGCTAATATCATGTAGTATGTTACTCAAAGAATTTGATCTGGTCAACCAGAAACAATGAATTGAGCACATTTTATTACGGCTGATAATCAACTAGTACGTTCTATTTGTAAATATCATAACAAAAAATAACGACTTGCATTTATCAGAACGTTTTTTATTTAGCAATATTTCACCGTTTCCCATTGGCGGGAATATTTTATGATTCCCGCGTAATGTGTCTATAGGCATGACCCGCCCTAGCTTTGTTCATGTGAACAGAAGATATCAGTACCCCAGGTCAATGACTTGTCGCGGGGCAGTTGTTTATCCCTGGATCATGTGAACAGGGCCTTAAACCGAGATAACTTTTGCCCATATGAACAGGCCCTTTGAAGTCAGTTTTGTCCCAACTACTGTATCATTTTAATGGCACCTTCAAGGCTATCCCTACTGTAGAACAACTGAACAATGAATCTGCCAATCGGGAGACAAAATCTATTTTGTTGACATTTTTGTTTAATACATCAGCTTCAGATGACCATTATTTGTAATGACTATATATATAATAAGAAAGAAATTGTGAGCATTATTAATACTGCTCGATTTAATAGTAGTCATCGCACCAGGAAAATAAAACAATTGCAAATGGCCACTATCAAAATTGTCCCTAGCAGGTCATGACTATTAAGACCAGTATTTCTCGCAGGCATCAAGCCTTGAGACTTCATTATGCATAAGTTATTTGATATACAGTAAATAATAATAATAACAATAAAGACTTTATTGCAGCTTATCTACATGGTAGCTTTACATCTGCGTAACTGAAAAAAATTAAATATATATAAATTGTTAATAATTGTTATAAATTTAAACTAAATTGTTAATAAGAAGAAACATTGCACTAATACAATACAAATAAGTCTATTCAAGGCGTAGGAATGCTCTGGATTTCAGTAATTGTTTCACTTCCCTCATGAATACGTTTAAGTCTGCACATGATCGTACTTCTGGGGGAAGATCATTGAATAAGTTCGCTGTTGTCTCCTGGAAAGTTCCTTTTATTAATGGAATCGACAATCGTGGTGCTGCATTAGAGCGTGGCGTTCTTCCAGGGTTATATACTTCCAGGGTTAAGTACTCAGGACAAGAGTCCTTGTTGTAGATTGCTCGGTGAGTATGCTTGAGGAGGTTTAATTGAGTTCTCTCCAAGGTTGGAAGCCATCCAAGCTGCAAGACATCTTTTCCTGAACAATAACGATTAGTGACGAAGCTGGCAGCAGCGTTTTGCACACGTTGCATTTTCTTTTGTAAATATGCGGGGAGAGGATAGCAAACGACATCATTAAAGTTTAACTTAGAAAGTACAAGACTTTCTGCTAATAGCTTTTTAGTATGTTGGGGTGTCATATTCCGAATTTTGCACAAGGTTGAAAGTACTCCATAACAAGACGAGACAAGTTCCTTTACATGATGTGACCATTTGAGATCCTCACTAAGCCACGTACCGAGTAATTTAAAATTTTCAACTCTTTCAAGGGATATATTCTTTATGGTAAGAGGTGGCGTGATGTCTCCGAGATTATGAGTTCTTGACATCTGTCGAGTGCTTATCAGCATCTGCTTAGTCTTATTTTCATTCAACAAGAGATTGGATTCTGTGGCCCAAGTTTCGAGAGTTTGTATGTTGTCATTCATTTCTTGCACACATTGACTGAGATTTTTAGGAGTACAACTACGGTAAACTGTTGTATCATCGGCGTATTGGAAGCACCTGCAGGTAAAATCATTTTGGAGGTCGTTGACGTAAAGGTTGAAAAGCATGGGACCCAATATCGATCCCTGCGGAACACCAAACAACACGTCTTCTAGTTCAGATTGGCTGTCATTTACTTGAACAAGTTGTTTCCGACCAGTAAGGTAGTTAAGAATCCAATTTAACGATGAATGTGAAAAGCCAATGGCATGAAGTTTCTTTATTATTACGGCAAAGTCCACTGTATCGAACGCCTTCGAGAAGTCGGCGAATGCAATAAGAGTAATTTCTCCTTTTTTCATAGCCTTTAATACATCGTCTCTTACTCGTAATAGGACAGATGAGGTGGCATGGCCTTTACGAAAGCCAGTAACATTCTCGTTTAATACATTATGCTGGTCGATGTATTTTACAATTTGATTTAGAATGAGGCGTTCATAGACTTTGGAAAGAGCCGGGAGAATAGAAATTGGTCTATAATGGTCTAACTCTGTCGGAGAGGCTACTTTGGGTATAGGTGACACACGTGCAGTCTTCCAAACATCTGGAAAGCTGTGATTTGCAATAAACCCGTTGATGATATAGGTCAATGGTGAGGCGATGTAATCAGCTGCCATCTTAAGGTATTTTACCGGAATCTGGTCAATTCCTGTCGAACAGTCAGATCTTATTGTTCTTAACAGACTCAGTACTTCACTATGGGCAACAGGACAAAAATTAAACGAGTTGGACATACAGACTGGTAATGAGTTTACTAGTTCTTGCAAAGCACTTGGGGAAGTCGGCACTGACCCGAGTAGACGTTGCGAGGTAGAGCTGAAGTGGCTGTTCAATTGGTCGGGATCCGCATTTATAGGTTTGGGATTGGGATGAAGTATGCGGTGTATTACTTTCCAAAGTTCTTTCGGGTTTTTTTATGATAATGCTTTCTGATAGAATGCTCTCTTGACCTTCTTAATCTTTGTCTGTATAGTGTTTCTTACTTCACGGAATTTATTCCAGACATGACTCAGGTTTGTTTTGTGAGCCAAATATCTGAGCTCGTTTCGTTCTTTTTGAAGTTGTTTCACATCACTGTGATTTAACCAGGGCGCAGGAGGGCGCGTGATTTTAGATCTGCGTAGTGGTGCATGTCTGTCGAGGCAATTAGGTATAGTCTGAAATTTTGGCAATTAAGCACCCAAAATACAAGTTTTTAAAAACTTTTTAAGTTTGGATATATGTCACAACAATCATATTAGTGTCATAGCAATAGTTTTATGCAACAACAGTTCCTATTTAATATGTAGAATATAAAAAAGTATTATGTGAAGCAAGTCAAAATTCACTGAACTTTTATGCGGGGCTTTACTGTATATCATAATCATTTTACTGTAATGGCAATTTTCTTATTGACACACAACCTATATATTTGTAACTTTTGATATACAATACCTTGATGACTTGATCTTTTGACAACACGAAACAACTTTATTATTGCCAACGATTGCCCAGCTAGCGAGATCACACTTCGCTAGTATAAAATATAAAAATCCCTAGCGAGATCACACTTCGCTAGTATAAAATATAAAAATATAGCGAGTTCACACTTCGCTAGTATTAAATATTATAGCGAGATCACACTTCGCAGTAGCAAGTTTGGTATTAATACAGGTACAGCGAGCTCACCAAGTTTGGTATTAATACAGGTACAGCGAGCTCACACTTCACTGCTTTTGAAACATATAAAATGAATGGTCCCCTTTGATTTGATTTGACCAAAATATCCCCGCGAACACACACCAAAATATACACCTAGAAGGGATAGAAATGTTGTAAATGTAAGTACAGTCGATGTATATATTAATAAGTTATTAACTGCTTCATATTTTAAAATAATACTGTAGACAGAAATGTTGTATATGTAAATACAGTCGATGTATATTACTGTAAAACCTATAGCAATTCAAGATAAATATAAACATATTTCAGGATAACTTACTTTGAAACGACAACCCAAAACGGAAAGAGTTTCGATATTTTTGGAAAAAATGTTGCTGAATTATTTGTTCGCGAACCTATGATGCATCATCGGCTCTATCTTATTATGGTTTAATGCATATGCAACATGCCATATATCATTTTGAAGCTTATAACATGCTCTACACAAATATTATCACAGATGACCTCCCAAGAAAAAACTTAAATGTATGACAACCTTGCAAACCAGAGAAGTGAATTTTCAACTTTCTATATTTAAAATCTATCTAGTCAAAATCTAAGCATGCATACTTGATGAATTTAAGTTGAGTGATAGATTACATCCTTGTGAACAAAATAATGGATGCTTTTTGTCTAACTCTCTATTTTGTTGCCATGACAACAAGTATTAGGTAAGGATCTTACTCATCAGTACCAATTTTGGTGTAGAACATTCAATTTTGATCAGAGTGTAAAAAGCATCCATTAATTTGTGCAGAAACATCCAAAGAACAATCTCAGAAAAAATCAGCAAGATTGCTTAAATACTCTTTGAGAAGATAGGATTTAAGTAACGGCTACTAGCCAAAGTACGTTTTTTGGGAAAACGCCATTTAAAGTTAGTAAACAATGATGCTGGTGTTTTCTGATGTTTGGGTGCAATGTACCTGTCCAAAGTCAACACTTATCATTGCAAGAATGTCACAGTCACTTTTCCTGATTTCTACTGGCAAATTGAGCCAATGGTGCATCATCAGTGTCATTAGACTCATCATTATGAGCAAATCTGGCTAACGGATAGTCATTTTCATCATCAAAGTCAACTTCATTATCACCCACCGTACCAAATGGCATACTCAGCAGAATCTTCACCAAGATCCTTCTTTGCTGTACTATACACTCTGATGAGCACAGCTTCAACTCGAATTGGAAATCAAGCACTTCACCAGTTTTAACCGAGATGACAAAACCAACCCCGATATTGGCTGTGTATCCTCGTTTGGACCACGTACCATCATAGCTCACCGCAATCTCTGCGACATCAGTTTCATCAGAGCGATGAAGTGAAAACACCTTGTTTCTTGCCTTCTGTGACTGTTCCACAACAGCTTTCTTGTGGGCCACATACAGTGCAGCAACATGTTGGTCCCTAGCTTTATGATGGCAAGGCCGGGGGGGGGATATTGAAAATGTCACACATAACTGACATAGCCTCTCTTCCTACACCCATCTCCATTCCTGAGTAAACCATACTCCTGTTTGTGTCCATGGTATTTTGGGGTTTCCACACTTGGTTGTTGTTCCCAGAGGTTTGAAGGTCGATCTTGACTTCGCATTTGGAACACTCTACATTGATCACAGAGCTATTCCCAATCTACGGCCCTCGTCTTCATTTTATACTCTCAACTCTCCTCCAGATGCCAATTTATGTAAAGGCTGAAACGCACTGACTAAATTTGACAGCTCAATCAGTCTATAGCTATGTGGCCCCATCAAAATCTTCGCTTCTTTCATTACTCTGACTTGTTACCTTTCATACAGAAGCAAGCACTGGTGTACACGCTGTTGTTTGAATTTGATGTGTCAACATCCCATCGACTCTGGCCGCGAAATTGCCGCTTTTTTATACTTTTAGCATTGCAAAGAAAATATAATCTCTAAGAGACTATTTTCAGATACCAACAAGCAACAAAATAAAATAAAATACAAACAAAGTGTGAATCTTTGATGTGTTTTCAGCTCTATATAGCAATGTTTTCGAACAGTGAAGAGAAATGTGGTCTAGAATAGCTATGCGACCAGGCCTTAACTTGTTACCAGTCCCTCAGGTTGTGGATTTACATAATCAGCAAAAAAAAATTCAAACCGCCCACAAACAACCAAGAAACAAGGCATAACAAATAAAATACACTAACCAGTTTCCATGGCAACGTGAAAAATGGCTGCCTACCTTTTTAAAAAGATGAAATTCTGTGAGAAAGCAAAGTTCTACCAGGCATATTTTTGCTTTCACAGACATCTACATATACTAATGATGATTTTAAGACCAAAAAAAATTTTTTGAATTTTTTAAAATTCTTTTGGTAGCAGGACCCCTTATTAAACTTGCCAGCCACACCACGAGACAACCTCGTTCCCAGGGTCTTTAGGAAAGACCCTGGTATCGGCTGGTCACGTGCCTCGTCCAAAATTGATCGCCCGAGGGGGTGTGGTGAAAGTATCAAATTACAAACAGTTAAAAACAAAAATTTTGCCAACTACTCCAGTAAGTTCAAAATACTTGCTAATTTTTGTTTATTTTTTTGCTTTGAATTTTAATACAAGAACATTCTTACATTTTTACCAACAGTCAAGTCAAGAAACCAAGCAAATCGTTACTCGCAGTGCTCTCTCGTGTTATTATCAGCGCGGTGTTATAACAAACGTTTGTGGACCTTTATGGGCTTTTCACAGTGTATGGGCTTTTCACATATGTAATGTTTTTAAAACACGCATTAGATTTGTCCTTTCTTGTAAACGTTGCTATGCTTTGCACGTCTTGTTTATAAGATTTTTAAAATAAACAGTATTGTATTGTCTAGGACTAGAGAGTAGAGCCCAATATCAGCAAATGTAAACATTTGATACTATGGCAACAGAGAAATGTCTGTCAGTGATTTATCTTTAAAATTTTGGATTTAGTACATAATTCGTATTCATTAATTATAGTAAGGCTTTAGCCTTTTTCTTGGTCGGATAATGTTTTCCTAATATACAGACAACTAGGCTATAATCTACATCACAAATTTACAGTGTCAGACGCGCACAGCCTGCCATACGAATACACATAAATTTTCGAGTTTTCTACTTCTACTAAGGCTACTAACAGTTTTCATTGTGTCTCAATCATCTGTTTATTTCTAGTTCAATAAGCTCATTTATATTTCTATATTTATTTGATAGTGGCATATATAGTGATACATGTAGGCTATTTACACACAAGCAATCCTGGATATGATAGAGACGATCAGTACGAGCTGTCCATTAAAAAAAGAACGGTATTCTATTCCACAAAGCAAAAAATTTAAATCTCACTTGTATTATTAAGAATATATATAAAGCAGAAAATTTAAAGCTTGTGAGTTGTGTCAAAACGAAAGCTGTTTATAAAATTTATAAATGTGGTATAAACACAGTACTAGGCTAAACAGTGCTCATTGAAAGACGTAAATATATTAGAATCTGGGTGACACGTGACCAGCCGAAACCAGGGTCTTTCCTTCGCCTCGCGCCGTTCTAAGAAAGACCCTGGGAACGAGGTTGACCACGAGACTGATTCGGGAAGAAACCGGAAGTTATGCACTGAAACGAATCATACGTCACAAAACGTCATCAATCCATTGTTCTAAAATCTCGATTTTTTCTCCCTGTCTCCTCCACATAACTCGCGGAAAGCCTGGGACCGACAGAATTAGTATGCTGCCTCTGCAGTAGTAGGCAGCAATGATTATATATGACCGACTCGTTTAACTTTTTGCTAGTCATCACGATACTGCAAAGCTTTGAATCCTTTCATGAAACTTTGCACTAGGTTATAGCGTTCGGAGTCAAAAATTTCAAGAGAAAAGTACGATACCTCGAGTCGAGTGGCTTGTATTCTTGGATAGTTCTATGCGAACTTTCTTCTCCTTGCCAGAACTTGCCTGATTTCCAGGCGTCTATAATGAAATGAAGAAAAAAGCCTACAGATAAATATTGACGTTATAGTTTAAAGACTTTTTGTAAAATAGTTCAGAATAATTCGGTAGTAGCGTTGAACATGTTTTTCAATGGAACAAGATCGGATTGAACGAAATTGAGGGTTTTTCTCCGAGCATTCGGTTTCGTTCAGCAGGGAACAATTATTGACAGAATGAGTTATATCAATGATATACAGAAGCAGATTTACGAACACAAAATGGTTTAAATTTAGTCCTATATATCACTATAAGTAAATGATAATATAATAGACGACAAACACCAGTGCGACATGGAGTCTGGAAATGCGAATGCGGAGACATTGTCATTGATGTCTCGAGGAGGAAGAATTAATAATTTTTTTCAGATTTTAAGGGTGATTTTGCATTCATTATGATTCAAAATATGATAGCTCTTAACGTTTGTTTTACAGGTTTTAAATTATTTATTACGAAGAGGCAGGTGTTTTTCTCTTTCATATATGAACTATAAGAAAGTTCATTAATTGAGTAATATAAGTGAAAAACTCATCATTTTCACAGCGCCTTTCATCTAATGAAACCCTTTCAATTATATTGGATCTTGGTAAAAATTTAAACAAGAATATAGGTTTCGATTTTTAACGACATTTTATTCTTCAAAGTTCACGTAATACGTATTGTAAGATACAAATGCTATTTTACATATAGCTCTCTATAAAACTGTCTAATTTGCATGCACATAGCAATTGTATATATAGCCACCTTTACAAATGTTTATACGACTTGTATTTAATTAAACTCCATGCTGCGGATTTTGTTCATCTTAACTTTGGAAACTGCACAAGCAGCACAACATAAAATTTATTTTAATAAAATCTACTTTCTTTAAAACTATCAGCTGAACAGAGAGTGATTGAAAAATTTGAACTCAAGATGCCTGCTGATGAAGCAAAAGTTGTTATTTTGGTCTTCTCACAAATTCTATAAAGAATTCTTTTATTAGGCCTAATTGCAGTTCATTAAATGACGTATTAACAGAGCAAATAGCACTTTATTTTCCGGTCTAATTCTTTATGAGTGAAGGTTATTGTGACAAAGACTTTTTAACAGTCACATATATACACTAGCTATTAATAATATTGCAGCCTCTGGCTATATATTGCAGAGTCATTCTTTAATCTTGTGGTAATCGCTGGAAACAGAAGTAAGTTTAAAGATTGGAACATATATATAGAGCGCAGTTAGAACATTATAGTCATTACATTCACAGAGAGCTTATAGATCCTGAGCATGGCGATCGAAGGCTGACTTAGAGGAATGGGATTACCGTACTTACTATATATGTTTACATCACAGGATTTATAGCATTTAGGTAGCAGCTTGAAGTAGTAACACACGGGACTAAGGTAAAGCCTTTAGATATTCAAAAACTTTCCAATATTTACGGCCAAACGTTTATTAGGATAACCGCGGGGCGCTTTAGTTGCGTTTTTCATTACCAGTATTTGTACATAAAACGGCAATATATGGTTCATGTAATTTGCGGTTCCTTGAAATGAATCTGTTGATCTATGATATGATATGCCCATATTATGTGGAATTTCAATCAAATTTAAAGAGGTTTTTATGTAGACAAGTAAAAGGACACAGCTTTGCCCAAAATATCAAGTATATATATATACTATAATAGTACTTCCTCGGCATATGCACGGATGGATATAACTATAAATATCGGTAACTAACGTCTAGACATTTGTCAAGCTGCCTTGTGCATTATTTTGCTTATGAAAAAAAAAATCAAGTCTCCAAAACATTATTTAATGCAAATTGAAAAGGTGAAAAGCCGCTCATATAAATGCATGAATATATGCATGACCTAGAAGATTAATCTCTTTAAAATTCACAACACTACACCCTGTTATCACTATCATGCAGTGATTATCATGCATTGAGTATAAAATAATATGTTTATTTTTTACTTATCTAGTTTTTTTAGTAACAGCTCTATGGAATAGTTCTGGGAAAGTTGCCTATATACTTGAATTACTTCAGCTTAATTTGGTTAAAACTGAAACAGAATCAATTCTTTAAATTGAAATGTAAATTTCATGCAGTGGCGAAAAAATATATCAACATTTTTTTGGCCTCCATATGCATCTGTGGAAACTGAAAGGATCGCTCCAAAGCACAGCCACAGTTGCATGTCGGCTAAATCCTCACTGAAACAGTGAAAACTTACATACATGCAGCAGTACATGTGGATTTTGATTTGACTTGTATTGGGTTGAGAAGATCACACAGCTTCTCAAGCTCTGAATTTGACTCTGGAGTTTTGAGTCAGGCCCGGTTAAGTTTAATCATCGTATCAGATTACCGGGACAAAGACCACGATGTCTTCGGATTTAAGAAACGATACTTTTCATTGGCATGGTTCCGTTTTCCAATAGAGCCAGAAGAAAACATTAAAGTAATCGAAGTTCTTTTCGACATCATTCTGGTAATGAGTTTAGTGTCAAATATTATACTATTTTGGATGATATGGAAAAATCCAGATAAAAAACCACGAAGCAGTAAAGATCTGTTGTTGGCTAATCTTTCCATAGTCAACGTTTTATCCACATTGTTTGGTGTAGTTGCCAGCATCGATAACCACGTAAGACAATCCAGTCTATCCAGAGCGACCTTGACTCACAAAGCTGGGGCAATAATGGTGTCCATAATTTTACCCAAGTACTATCCAAGTGTCTTTCTTCTCACACTAACACAATATGGCATGATTGTTAAACCGTTGAAATTTAAGTCAATGGATCCACAAAAGGTAAAAACGACTATGATTTTCCTCGGTATTCATTGGGTTCTGACAACTGCTGTACTAATAATTATTCCTATCGTCTATGAAGATTTTGATAAATACTTCAAAGTAATGGTCACGGTTATCGTCTGTTTGTTTATCTTGGGTAATAATTGCATTCATTGCTTACATGTTCATACGTATCTTACACACGCTTTGGAAAAGACACAATGATCTTAAAAAAAGGTTCAATGTATCAGCAACACAGCAAGGAACTATAGCTATCCGTCAAAATACCCGCTTAGGAAGAGTACTGTTTGTATTCATAGGAACCTTAGTTCTCTGCAGCTTGCCATCAAATACAACGTATTTGTTCATCATACATTGTTCACAATGCGATCAACGTGTTTTAGTAAAGGCTTGCCTGTATACATTACCATTGTTTTTGGCTCTGCAAGTTATTCATCCAATTTATTGGCTTATCGCAACGCCAACATATTATAAAGAACTGAAGAGACAGGCTCGTAAATTATTAGTATTCTGTCGTTGTGGAAACGAAAATTGAACATAAAACAAATTCTGACTAAATTTGAACACTTCAGATAAATGAGTGCCAACACGTTTGCACAACAAAGTATTGAGTTGACCTAAACAGATTGAAGTCTCCAGTAAGTATTCAGAAATTAAAGCGTTGCAAACTCCATGACTTGAAGGTTTTTCATACCTTAACTAAGAACAACTAAAGACTGCATGCGTGTTTTAATTTTGGAGTTTAAGATATAGCAAGAGCGCAAAGACTTAGCTAGAGAATTTCAAATTAAAGACTTCAATATAATTGTTCAGGATAGGTCAATATAATTGTTTAGAATTCAAGACCTGGAACGGTTGGTTATTCAGTTAACCCCGCTCTCACAACTAGATTATATATAAGAGAGTTTATACGATATATAAGAGAGTTCGCCAATTCTAAACCCGTCGCCAATCGTAAGCTCTCCATACAAATGCTACGACCAACTTTCAATGCGAGATCTCAAGTGAACTATCGATACCAACTGAGAATGAGAAATGGAATGAATGGAAAATTTTTTCGTTCTTCTCGATCTACAGTGTCAGGAATAATGTCACTAAAGATGATTCTCAATATTTGGATGAATTAGCGAATATGTACATTAATGATCCAGAATTTTTTCTATTTACCCTAAACGCTTGTAAAGATAAGAGCGAATGAGAGTGTATTGTAAAAAATGGTGTGGGAAAGAATATCGAACCTCAATTGAAAACAATAGTTTAAAAATACTGTTCAGAAATGCTGTGTAACCATCGGCTTAACCGTATTACTGGTATAAATAAATACATTTAAATTTTTTTCCATTTTTTTTTAATTAAGTACAGGTAAACGTTTTCAAAAATAAACAGCAGTCAGGAGTTTTTAAAGTCTGCAAATAGCATTATTTTTACCCTGCGTGCAGTCCCAGACTCCAACGCAGGCTACATTATTTTGGGTTTAAGACTAATGGGGCCTATAGCTGCCAGAGGGCCAATGGTAATCTATTACAACGAGGTAATTCTTGCCCTTACATTCACACAGATCAGTTCCTAGCTTTTTCCATGGTCGTTCAGGTATTTGATGTGCTATCATCGGTTCCTTCTGGTTTCTTCTTCTATATGTGGCGCAAGTAGCACATTTTGATACTTTCTTGTAAATATCTTTTGACATTCCAGGCCAAAAAAGGATTGCTCTTGCGCGTGCTTTGCATTTCTCTATCCCGAGATGACTTTTATGTATCAGGTTGAGCATATTGCTTCTCATTGCTGTAGGTATGACTAACTGGTGGTCTTTGAAGATCAGACCTTCTGCTTCACTCAGCTCATGGCGAATGTTCCAGTAGGTAGCTAAGTTTTGCGGGATTTCATGCTTGCGATCAGGCCAACCTTGAACCATCTGCTGTTTAAGTTGTTGTAGCGTTTCATCATTCGCTGTTTCTTCCTTAAGCTCTGCCATTTTCTCAGGAGATGCTGGTATTGCTGTAACCATGCTGTGCACCATTACTTCAATGTCCTCATTAAGTTCCTGTTGTTCTCCTTCTTCTGGTAAGTACGCTGTAGACAAAGTGTCGGCGATGAACAGGAATTTCCCGGGAACATATTTTACTGTTGGGTGATACTTCTGTAGTCGGATGAGAAGACGCTGAATTCGCGGTGGTGCTTGTGATAATGGTTTAGCTATGATGGCTTCCAACGGCTTGTGGTCGCTGTGTACTGTAACTTGTGTCCCATAAATGAATTGGTTGAAACGTTCACATGCGAATACGATTGCGAGCAGCTCTTTCTCTATCTGAGCATAGTGCTGCTCAGCATTGGTGAGTGATCGGGATGCATAAATTACTGGGTGTCCTTCCTGAATTAAACATGCACCCAGTCCACCTTGTGACGCATCAACTTGGAGGATAACAGGCTTATCGATGTCGTAGAAGTGCAAAACTGGGCTGCTTGTGAGGACTTTCTTGATTCTTTCGAGTGCTTTCTGGTGTTCGTTGTGCCAGGACCATTGTATGTCTTTCTTGAGAAGGGTACGCAGTGGCGCAGTGATCTCAGACATGTTGGGTATGTACTGTGAAAGATAGTTCACCATTCCTAATAGGCGTTGTAAATCTTGCTTGCTCTTTGGTAGAGGCATTTCGACAATGGCTTTAATCTTCTCAGGATCAGGAGTGAATCCTTTAGCACTAACGATGTTGCCAAGATATTTCACTTCAGTGACTCGTAGTTGGATCTTCTTCTTGTTGAATTTTATGTTTCGTTCTCTTGCTCGATGTAGGACTTTCTCTAGAGCTATGTCATGCTCTTCTGTGTTGGCACCTGAGACTATGATGTCATCATGTACTGCTAGTGCACCAGGGATGTCAGAAAATTCATCATCTACCATTTTCTGCGCTACATCCGATGCAGAACATATGCCAAAAGGCATGCGATTGAACTTGTATCGACCGAACGGTGTGTTGAATGCACACAGATATAGGATGATTCTTCATCAAGTTTTTTTGTGCCAGTAGCAGTTGGGCATGTCAACAAGGGTGGGTTGACTACAAAATTTTTGTAGTTCGCTATAAGTACAGCTACTTCAAAAATATGTAGTCAGCTACAACTACTGCTACTTTTGAACAAAGGTAGTTCGCTACTGACTACAGCTACTGCTTAAAAAATGTAGCGAACTATTTCGCTATTTCGCTACTCTATATTTTTTAGTTTTACGGTATTTGGAGCATCCACTAGCTCAGGTTGTATTATAACCTATAACAAATCGACTTACGAGTAGCAACAGTAAACAAAAAGGCTCAAAGCAACATTTTTATAAGCACTGCAGTGTTCAAGAGTGCCACTTTTCATTGCGCTAAAATAATCTTTACTGTATAAAATAATCTTTTAAGCAAACCGTGTCTTATCTATGAACGGTTGCTAACAATTTTAAAAAGTAGCGAATAGCGATTCGCTGTTTGAAAAGTAGTCAACTATTTGGCTACTTTTAGGCAAAATGTAGTTCGCTATACTGTTTTAAAAAAGTAGTCAAAAACTACTGGCTACTTGAAAATTGTAGTTCGCTACAGTAGCGAACTACAACTACTTCGCTACTACCCACCCTTGCCAATCAGTGCTTTGCCATTGGGAGCCTTGACAACAAAGAACTCCACTTCCGTTTTCCGGTCTGCAGTTTTCTCGATTTCTAAAACGCATTTTCCTTTCACCGGAACCTGTGCTCCTCCATATGCTGTTAGTTTTGTCCCAGTAGCGATGAGTTGTGGTTTCTGCTTAATTCCGTCGAAAATTTCCTCGGGTAACACATTGCACTGAGCGCCAGTGTCTATTTTGAAATTTACATTTTTGCCGTTAACTTTGAGGTTAGTTATTAATACAATTTTGGCGGTTGTTGTCGCAATTTCTGCGATAAACAATTCGTCTTCCTCCGTACTAGAATTATCGGTAGTTTTTTCTTTTCGAACTTCGTGTACGCGTGTTTCTGACATTTGAGTGTTGAGGTTTTTCGAGCGGCACATTTTGGCGAAATGATTATTTCCGTGACACTTGTGACATGTTTGTCCAAACGCTGGGCATTGTTTTGGTGCATGATTTGAGCCACAACGCGAACAAGACTGTGTTTTGCCGACATTTCTACTTGGTTTCGTTTCTTCCCTCTGGTATTTACGGTGAGAGGTTCTTTCGAAATTCTTGTGAATTGATTCTACTTCAAGCGAAGGATTATTTAACTTTTGTACTTGGGTCTTGCTTGTTTCTGCGGCTCTAACGATGCTAATCGCCTTTTCCAACGTGAGGTCGTTGTCTCGGAGCAAACGCTCTCTGATGCTGTTGCTGTCGATTCCGCAAACGATTCTATCTTTAATTAAGCTGTCCTGTAGTGATTCAAATTCACAGGTCTTTGCTTTGTTGCGAAGGTCAAGTATAAATGCATCGAGTTTTCTTCCGTTTTGTACACACGTATTAAATATATATCGCTCGTATGTCGTGTTTTTCCTTGGTGTACAGTAGCTCTCAAATTTCTGAATGAGCGGCTCGATCTTATCTTGTTCAGTTTCAGTAAAGGTGAAAGTATCATAGATTTCCAATGCTTCTTCTCCGATTGTGTGAAGGAAAATTGCACACTGAATCTCTTCGTCTTTTCGTTCGGCTCCACTGGCTTTCGCGTAAAGATTCCAGCGTTGTCTCCATTTCCTCCAGTTTTCTGCCACATTTCCGTCCATTTTTAAAGGACCCATAGGCTTCATATGTTCCATGATTGTAGTTTCTCCTGACACCATGTAATAAACAGTGTTACGCCATTAACGTTGAACTCACAATGAGTATATTTATCGATTATAAACGTGATGACATGTTATGTCTAGACAATTGGGGGGTGTCCAACTTGTCAATGTCAATGTATTACAAGTGAGATACCCGAAATCCTGCTATTTCAATAATCGTTCAACAATTCCCTAGACCTATAGTGCTTTCTTCCCATATTGCACTCTATCCATTTTATTACTGTACTACGATTTGTGTTCTTACGATTTGTGTAATTATCATTTTTTTTTCTTTCCTGAGTTACCTTCTTCTGTGCGTGGCGAAGAAACACGGCCAATGGCATCGAGTCAGGAGTCAGATTAATATCGTCACCTTTTGCAATTTCGGTGGCTTCCTCTGGTGTCTCAATAATTGTTTCAGCAGCTAAGCCCAAATCAGATTGACACAAACTATCTGCACTCGAAACAATTCTTGGCGTATCTTTAATTTTCCTCTTCGTGTTATTTGTATCTTGCAAAGTTGATTTCTTAAAGACCCTTAAATATTTCGGTTTTGACAACGTTTCCCACCAAAGATGTCACATTTTGCGCCTGTTTCCGGAGTGTACTTAAATACGATCCGTCTGAAGAATCGCGGGTGATGTTCATAACGTCTGACCCTTTATTTCCTGACGCTTCTGCTTCTTTGGATAATTTATCTTTCACATCATTTTCATTTCCTACTGGTGCTATCTCACTGCTGTCCTGGACAACAGATTTATTCTTTTTCTTTTTGCTATGTTTATCAACAGTATCACCTCCTTGGGTTTCATCACATAGTTTGTTTCCATTAGGTTTGCCTCGTTTTCTCTTCTTTATAGATTTCACATCTTCAGTTAGCGTAGGAATATTCTCTTCACTACCAGTTTTACTATCACCTTTCCGTTTCCTACCTTTTACCTTCTTCCCAGTTTTGCTCGTGTCTTCCACGCATTCGCTCAGAAACTGCTTATCATGTTCTTCTTTCATTTCACTATCTTCGTAAATGGCTATACTATCCTTTGCTACCATTTGCCATTGTAGCACAATCCTGACTCAAAGTTCCTCTCTTCCGACTTCTTTTCTTCTTGACGCGTTCATTGCCAGCGGATGGATCCATGTCGCACATACGAGCATCACCTTCAACATCATCATGTTGTTTCCATTCTTCACTTTTCTTGATTTTTTTTGTATGAACTTTACACTCTTTATCTTATTGTAGTTCAGATAGTAGTGTACAAAGAATTTCATATGATACTTTACCTCCTCCGTCAGGACTAAGTGAATTAATAGCAAAGCAGCCTCAAGGTCATACTGTACATGAAATACAATGGAAATACAATGTCAGTTTACTCCCAAAGTAAATAAAATTCAACAATAACCAACAGAAAAAGGATCAGGTATATACTGTAGTTCAGATAATATCGAAAGAATGTCATACGATACTTTATCAGATCATCAGTGTACTTTACCTCCTCCATTAATATTAAGTGAGCTGTCAGCGAAGCAGCCTCAAGGTGATACTGCATGAAAAATAAGATCAGTTTAATTCCAAAGAATATCAAAACAACAATATAAACAACAGTAAAATGGATCAGGTATATTGTAGTCTTCCTTGATTAATCTTAAGTGAGCTGTTAGTGAAGCGGCTTCAAGGTGATTTTTATTAATATAAGGTAATTTTCTACCAAAGCTGGGAAAACAGAGTTGGATTAGGTGTTGTACGCAGTAGCATCCCAAACCTTTACAAGATTCTTACCTCCTCGATCCATTCAGAGGGATATGAAATGCAAAGTCATGTGTGTTTATACTATCACACTGAATGTACAGTATATATGAACTCCAATAATCACAAGCAGAAAATAGATTCCATATAAAATACTAATTAGGTGTGCAACCAATCTCAAGGCCAAGGGGTTTTCGTCATGTTGGATGAAAATTGAATTGCAACAAAGCAAAATACTTTGAAAATGCAACCGAAAACCACGGCCCACTGACAATTTCAAATAATATGGGTCGCCCCGTGCTTACATAAACAGGCTTTGTGATTGGTTGATTAAGACAACAAAAGACCATAAACTATATAGAAATCTAGGTACTTACCTAAAATATATAAGAAAAACCGTAGTTATATGGTAAAACAGAATCCGAAGAATTAGGAAAGTCGAAAATTTCGCTAGCTTATTCTTTGGAATCTGTTTTTTCCTAAATTTGCCCAACATGGCGGGAATGACGTGACTTACACAGCAGAATACTTCAATTATATTGTCCAAAATTATAGACAAACAGATAAAATTTTCTTGTCTACAAACTATGCGTACATTAGAACTACCAGTTCATTATACACCGTCTATCTCCTTGTCTTTGGGAATACTGGAAATTACGTATTACGTTCTAAACTCAAACATGCGGGCTACACCTTCCCTAAATGGTTGGGGCCTGGACAGATGTACTCCCCATGCCACCAGCATTTACACCAAAAGTTGATCTAGAAAAAATCTAGGCGTAAAAAGGCACAAGTTTTTTATTAAGACGAGCAAAAACATACGAAAATGACTTCAGTCAACCTTTCACATGTATACTATATTTATTATCTATTATGTTTCATTTCATGCTGAAGACACGCGTAAAAAACGCTTTAGGGATTAGGATATAGCAATATATATTTGTCATGCAATGTTAAAACAGGATATGAATATTAGAACATGAATATTTAGTTATACGATAAAAATCTTTACAAAGATTCTTTAATACTGTTAAAAGAAGTCCACTGCAGCAGGTCGCTTCCGTGGTTGTGGTGAGCTTGCAGTATAGTTGGCTTACTTGCTGATGTTGGTGGGGTTTTCAAGGAACTTTGAACTGGTTTCTTGTTTGCATCAAATGGAACAACAGGACTACACTTGAGAATTTGTCTGTAATCTGCAGAGTTTATTATATTTATAGTATATTGAGGATTTGTCATTGAGCTGGTAATGTAACCATTTACAAGGGGGAATGCGCGACTACCTCATCTCATTTGTGTCTATACGTTTTTACTTGCAAAATGTATCATATGTGAAGATTAGTTAGGAGTTGAATATATGGAAGGGGAGTACATCAGGAAATAGCGATGAAGAATATAAACCTATTACATGCAGGTGAACTACGTGAATACGTGAAGCGTTCCTCTTTTGAGGTTCTAACTCATTTGGAATTTTCCTAATTACCTTTGCAATTTTGAAAACTCTTTGCAAATCCCTCGAGGGAATTTGAAATGTTCCTATAAGCCAATTAAATTATGCAATGTGAATCGTTGTTAAAAACTATGGGAATTGGTCAAACGGGAACTTTCAAAAAATATTTATATAGTCCAAAATTAGACGCAGCAGTACCAATCATACAGTTACTTGTCGCCAGGAAAATTGGCAGCCTGGAAATAAGGATTTGTTAAATAGGATTTTGATTCAACTATTTTATATATGCATGCAAAGCAATACGTTATGTATATAAATTTTGATTATAAAAAAATATTGTAAATTCCCTCATGGGATTTGCGAAGGTAATTAGAAAATTCTAAATGACTTTCTAACTGAAAAGAGGAACGCTTCACATCAGTTCACCTACTTGGAAACTATTTGGCGTAATTACACTTTCGTACGCTGCGCGAGCAGGCCTTGTCCGGAGGAGGTAAAACCGCACGGGGAAGTAGATGGCAACAAACGAAAGAGTGATTTAGTAAAGTAAATGTAGTACTTATATAAACAAAATAGTGCTGTGTTTTCATTGCAATCCACTTTCCCCGTTCAGTTTGCCACTCAAAAACGGCGGACAAGGCCTGGTCGCATGGTGTGAGAAAGGCATTGAAATGAATATAACTGGAACTCTACCCTCAAATAAACTGCCTATCTTTTTCTCGAAGCCAAATCTTGACCCGCGTGTTTACATCATGATTGACTGATTGAGGACTCCTCGCATGCGTGAAAAGACTGGGACTGGCCTTAAAGTTTGGCTTCAAATTTCCGGTTGGAGGGTAGCGTTCCAGTTATATTCGTTTAAATGGAGAAATTGATTACGAAAACGCTGGAAGGTTACACCTTCTACCTAGTTAAGAAATAGATAAGATTTTGCCGTTGTCTGTTCAGTTATAGATACACAGTATGACGTCATAATATGGGAAGAACAAAAAAGTGGCTCACGAGCCACCGAGGCGAGTTATTATATGATTATATATGACCGACTCGTTTAAATTTTTGCTAGTTATTACGATACTGCAAAGCTTTGAATCCTTTCATGAAACTTTGCACCAGCACCAGGTTATAGCGTTCGGAGTCAAAAATTTCAAGAGAAAAGTACTATACCTCGAGTCGAGTGGCTTGTATTCTTGGATAGTTCTATGCGAACTTTCTTCTTCTTGCCAGAACTTGCCTGATTTCTAGGCGTCTATAATGAAATGAAGAAAAAAGCCTACAGATAAATATTGACGTTATAATTTAAAGACTTTTTGTAAAATAGTTCAGAATAATTCGGTGAGTAGCGTTGAACATGTTTTTCAATGGAACAAGATCGGATTGAACGAAATTGAGGGTTTTTCTCCGAGCATTCGGTTTCGTTCAACAGCGAACAATTATTGAAAGAATGAGTTATATCACTGATATACAGAAGCAGATTTACGAATACAGAATGGTTTAAATTTAGTCATATATCACATAATCGTGATTAAGTAAATGATAATATGATGGACGACAAACCTAGTGCGACTTGGAGTCCGTAAATGCGAATGCGGAGACATTGCCATTGACGTTTTGAGGAGGAAGAATATGCATTATAGTATAGAATTAATATGATTTTTTTTCAGATTTTAAGGGTGATTTTGCCTTCATTATGATTCAAAATATGATAACTCTTAACGTTTATAGGTTTTTAAATTATTTATTACGAAAAGGCAGGTGTTTTTCTCTTTCATATATGAACTATAAGAAAGTTCATTAATTGAGTAATATAAGTCAAAAACTCATCATTTTCATAGCAGTCTTGCCGGCTTTCATGTTGATGAAAACTTTTCAATTATATTGGATCTTGGTAAAAATTTAAACAAGAATATAGGTTTCGATTTTTAACGACATTTTATTCTTCAAAGTTCACGTAATACGTATTGTAAGATACAATTGTTATCCGTTACATAGCTCTCTATATGAACGGTCTAATTTGCATGCACATAGCAATTGTATATAGTCACCTTTACAAATGTTTATACGTATACGACTTGTGTTCTATAATGGGTTTAGCTTACGTATTTAATTAAACTCCATGCTGCGGATTTTGTTCATCTTAACTTTGGAAACTGCACAACATAAAATTTATTTTGTTAAAATGTACTTTCTTTAAAACTATCAGCTGAACAGCCGGAGAGTGATTAATAATAATAATAATAATAATAGTTTATTTTAACTCTGTTTAGATATAGCACACAAAGTGCTAGTTTGACTGAGTAACTAATAGAATTACAAATATCTATATATTAAAATAAATATGTATATTATATTGTTAAATGACTAGATAAATAATGTGTAAGTCTAAACATCTTGAAATTCAAATTTATGTAGCGTGGAGTAAAGCTTGTTGTGTGAAGCCTTTTCGTTTTAAATACGCTTCCCCAAGCTTGCCATATGCCTTAGCTAACTGCGAATGTCCATTTCCATACACAAGTCTGCAGTAAGCAAGACTTCGTATCCGTTCTTTCACAGCTAATTCAAGCTCTCCTTTTTTATCAAATTCACGAGCCTGTCTTCTCGCTCGTTTTAACAAATGCAAAGGACGGTTGCCGCTAGAGTTGCCCAGAAAATTCTGCAATGTTTCTTCGCTATCGCTAGCTTCGGATGACGAGATCTTTTGTCGAAATGATACCAAATTTTCTTCGTCCTCAGATGTTTCGACAGTCGGGATTCTTATAGTTTTATCTAAAGAATGAGGTCTTTCGTCTCCGCTGTTTGATAATTCACTAGTTTCACTCATTTCTATGGCGTCATATTGAAAAAGTTGAACTCAAGATGCCTGCTGATGAAGCAAAAGTTGTTATTTTGGTCTTCTTTCAAATTCTATAAAGAACCCTTAGATTAATTGCAGTTCATTAAATGACGTATTAACAGTGCAAATAGCATTTTATTTTCCGGTCTAATAGTCTTTATGAGTGAAGATTATTTCGACAAAGACTTTTCAACAGTCACATATACACTATTAATAACATCCTATGGCTATATGTTGCAGAGTCATTCTTTAATCTTGTGGTAATCGTTGGAAACAGAAGTAAGTTTAAAGATTGGAACATATATATAGAGCGCAGTTACAACATTAGTCATTACATTCACAGAGAGCTTATATAGATCCTGAGCATGGCGATCGAAAGCTGACTTAGAGGAATGGGATTACCGTACTTACTATATTAACATCACAGGACACTGTCACTATAGCATTTATGATAGCAGCTTGAAGTAAGACTAAGGTAAAGCCTTTAGATATTCAAAAACTTTCCAATATTTACGGCCAAACGTTTATAGGATGATAACCGTGGGGCGCTTTAATTACGCTGTTAGTTTTTGCGTTTTTCATTACCAGGACGGTGATTTGTACATAAAACGGCAATATATACATAGTTCATGTAATTTACGGTTCCTTGAAATGAATCTGTTGATCTATGATATGATATGCCCATATTATGTGGAATTTCAATCAAATTTGAAGAGGTTTTTATGTAGACAAGTAAAATGACACAGCTTTGCCCAAAATATCAAGTATATATATACTATAGTCTTCCTCGGCATATGCACGGATGGATATAACTATAACCATCGGTAACTAACGTCTAAACATTTGTCAAGCTGCCTTGGGTGCATTATTTTACTAGTAATAGAATTGTCTTGTGAAAAAAAAAACAATTCAAGTCTCCAAAACATTATTTAATGCAAATTGAAAAGGTGAAAAGCCGCTCATATAAATGCATGAATATATGACCTAGAAGATTAATCACTTTAAAATTAAAATTCACAACACTATATATATCCTGTTGTCACTATCATGCAGTGATTATCATACAGTGAGTATAATTAAAATAATATGTTTATTTTTTACTTATCTAGTTTTTTGGGTAACAGCTCTATGGAATTGTATCTGGGAAAGTTGCCAACTTGATTTACTTCAGCTTAATTTCGTTAAAACTGAAACAGGATCAATTCTTTAAATTGGAATGTAAATTTCATGCAGTGGCGAAAAAATATATCAACATATTTTTGGCCTCCATATATTCATCTGTGGCAACTGAAAGGATCGCTCCAAAGCACAACCACGGTTGCATGTCGGCTAAATCCTCACTGAAACAGTGAAAACTTACATACATGCAGCAGTACATGTGGATTTTGATTTGACTTGTATTGGGTTGAGAAGATTACACAGCTTCTCAAGCTCTGAATTTGACTCTGGAGTTTTGAGTCAGGCCCGGTTAAGTTTAATCATCGTATCAGATTACCGGGACAAAGACCACGATGTCTTCGGATTTAAGAAACGTTTCCAATTCTCCACGATACTTTTCATTGGCATGGTTCCGTTTTCCAATAGAGCCAGAAGAAAACATTAAAGTAATCGAAGTTCTTTTCGACATCATTCTGGGAATGAGTTTAGTGTCAAATATTATACTGTTCTGGATGATATGGAAAAATCCAGATAAAAAACCACGAAGCAGTAAAGATCTGTTGTTGGCAAATCTTTCCATAGTCAACGTTTTATCCACATTGTTTGGTGTAGTTGCCAGAATCGACAACCACGTAAGACCATCCAGTCTATCCAGAACGACCTTGACTCGCAAAGCTGGGGCAATAATGTTGTCCATAATTTTACCCAAATACTATCCAAGTGTCTTTCTTCTCACACTAACACAATATGGCATGATTGTTAAACCATTGAAATTTAAGTCAATGGATCCACAAAAGGTAAAAACGACTATGATTTTCCTCAGTATTCATTGGGTTCTGACAACTGCTGCACTAATAATTATTCCTATCGTCTATGAAGATTTTGATAAATACCTGAAAGTAATGGTCACGGTTATCGTCTGTTTATCTTGGGTAATAATTGCATTCATTGCTTACATGTTCATACGTATCTTACACACGCTTTGGAAAAGACACAATGATCTTAAAAAAAGGTTCAATGTATCAGCAACACAGCAAGGAACTGTAGCTATCCGTCAAAATACCCGCTTAGCAAGAGTACTGTTTGTATTCATAGCAACCTTAGTTCTCTGCAGCTTGCCATCAAATACAACGTATTTGTTCATCATACATTGTTCACAATGCGATCAACGTGTTTTAGTAAAGGCATGCCTGTATACATTACCATTGTTTTTGGCTCTGCAAGTTATTCATCCAATTTATTGGCTTATCGCAACGCCAACATATTATAAAGAACTGAAGAGACAGGCTCGTAAATTATTAGTATTCTGTCGTTGTGGAAACGAAAATTGAACATAAAACAAATTCTGACTAAATTTGAACACTTCAGATAAATGGGTGCCAACACGTTTGCACAACAAAGGATTGAGTTGACCTAAACAGATTGAAGTCTCCAGTAAGTATTCAGAAATTAAAGCGTTGCAAACTCCATGACTTGAAGGTTTTTCATACCTTAACTAAGAACAACTAAAGACTGCATGCGTGTTTTAATTTTGGAGTTTAAGATATAGCAAGAGCGCAAAGACTTAGAATTTCAAATTAAAGACTTCAATATAATTGTTCAGGATAGGTCAATATAATTGTTTAGAATTCAAGACCTGGAACGGTTGGTTATTCAGTTAACCCCGCTCTCACAACTAGATTATATATAAGAGAGTTTATACGATATATAAGAGAGTTCGCCAATTCTAAACCCGACGCCAATCGTAAGCTCTGCATACAAATGCTACGACCAACTTTCAATGCGAGACCTCAAGTGAACTATCGATACCGACTGAGAAATGGAATGAATGGAAAATTTTTTCGTTCTTCTCGATGTACAGTGTCAGGAATAATGTCACTAAAGATGATTCTCAATATTTGGATGAATTAGCGAATATGTACATTAATGATCCATGTAGAATTTTTTCAATTTATTTACCCTAAACGATTGTAAAGATAAGAGCGAATGAGAGTGTATTGTAAAAAATGGTGTGGGAAAGAATATCGAACCTCAATTGAAAACAATAGTTTAAAAATACTGTTCAGAAATGCTGTAACCATCCGCTTAATCATATTACTGGTATAAATAAATACATTTAACTCTTTTTCGTCCGGTGCCAATTAGACCAGGACTGGACCGACCTGGTTCTTTGGAGATTTATATCTTTGGTTCAGTGCATGCTATGTAGATGAAAATAACACTGTTCGATTCAGTAGGAAATTTCCTATCGATAGAGTTAGTAAAATGTCAATATTTTAGCGATTTACGACCTTTAGAGGTCAAGCGACTTCATATTTCATTATATTACACAATAATCCCGAAATATGTAAACAATGTTTACTAAGGCATACCTTTCGCCGAACATAACTTCGGCCCCTTTCAAGATGTCTTTTTCGTAATAGTCTTGTTCGATTCACAATCAAAAACGCTATTTAGAGTGTTATTTTCAAGCTTATATCTACAGATTTGCATCTTTTATTTTGGTATTTCAAAATATCCAAATTTTACGCGAGAGCTTCAACCGGAAATTCATATTAGATTTGCCAAAACATTGCGTGCTTACATCCCATCACTCGGGAAACGTCGGAAATCGATTCTAAAGGTCAAATTACCCCTACAGCGTGATTTGCACGTGCATGGGGCTACAGGAGCTCCTTATTGGACAATTTTATCATGAGACACGCGCGTGCGAGTAAAAACCCGATATATTGAAAAATTCAAAATAAATATTTCAAGTGGCCCTATTCAAACGAAATTTTCTACACGAAAGCGCTTGAATACAAGGAGTATTTTACTTATATTGACATGAGGCGAATACCGAAAAGTTCAAGACATATTCAAGATTCTCTTGATATCAAATTCAAAATGTTTGGCCAAGCGGTGAGTAAAATATACGATTGTTTTGGTTTGTGTAATGTTATGACGGCATTTGACCCTCCGTTCGAAAGGTTATTATTTGAGGATTCCAATGGTGGTTTCGGTTTTAAAGGGGGGTGAATACTTGTTGAGATATTTTAATCAGAAGTAATTCAATTAAGTTTTTTAAAGTCTGCAAATAGCATTATTTTTACCCTGCGTGCAGTCCCAGACTCCCACGCAGGCTACATTATTTTGGGTTTAAGACTAATGGGGCCTATAGCTGCCAGAGGGCCAATAGTTGCATTTTTCGCAATTTCTCCTCGGGTTTGAACCGGTCTAATAAATGTATAGTAACTAGAAGTTACTATCGCAAGGAAAGTGCTGCCTCACCCCCCAAGGCAGCATGCACAATTGGCTGAATAAGGGGCTGTTTGCCTGTTTATATGATCCCGCTTTGCCATTACTCTCATGATGTTTTTATATCATTATGTCAAACTAAAACCACCCCCAAATACATAAAGAATACATAAAGGAAACTAAGTAAGTTATACTTTATAATTTAAAAAATTAAAGTAAATTTGTAATGCAAAATATAATAAAATTAAAAAATAAATAAATACCCACACAGAGCCTGGCCACCTGTGGTTTTATATGAATACCTTCCATGCTTATAACTTCTTGCTTTTGTTATGTATAATTATAATCAGCTGTCATTGGTGAAGCTAGCCATAGCAACAAGTCATGCTATGCAAGTTATTAATGATTTGTATCATTCAAATAGATGCAAGATTATCAGCATAGGCATAGCACAGAGGGCATAGCATGACGAGTTGCCATGACTAGCTTGCCACTGAATACTGTACAATATTAAATCTGGTATTTCCAAGTATTTATGTTTATTTTTCTGTTTATTATATAAAGGACAGTCTTTGAAAAGCGATATTTTTTGCAGAAAAGCGATTATTGAAAAGCGATTATTGAAAAGCGATAATTTTCACATGTGAGATTGGGTCGTTCCAGAAAAGATCCATACTCCCCCCACAGAGGAAATTTCTGCCGTCCGGAGGGGGAGGGGGAGGGTGGGTTAGTAAATGTATTAGGACATCCGAAGGGGGTAGGGGGGTTAACTTCCTATTTCCTCCGCGGGGGTGGTATGGATGTTTTCTGGAATGACCCATTATCATAAATAATCTCACATGTGAGATTATCAGTTTTATCAGCGCTCGAAATCTCTATAAAGCACTATACGTTATTGTAAGTGCTCGCGTTGCGTGGACACGCGCGCGTGTACAGATCGGAAACGTTCGTACGTTGTCGTGCCCTTTTTGGCGCGAAAGAACACAAAAAAAAAGAACATGTTTAATACGAAAGGACAAGCTTTTTGTATTTTAAGATTTGTAAATTAAGATAAAGGCCGAGTCATCAACGTTGTTTACCCGGCCAAAACCAAGTAACCTAAAGATAAAACATGAATAAAGATTAATGAACATTTACAGTAAACAACGAGACTCACAAACGTGTATATTTCAAGTGTGAATATTTGTGAGTATGACACATTTTATACGGACAAGCCGATATATTTTGTGATTTACAAGAAGATATAAAGAATATAGTATGGCTATGGACCCAGGTGGTCATAAGACGGATGAAGTACGATCGAAAGTCTGCGAAAAAGACTTAGAAGAGAACATCTCGAAGGGAAAGAACAGCGAACAATTATTCGAAGACAAAGGTAATATTGATAAGTCCATTGTAATCAATACAGAAGACGATACGGGGAGTACTCGAAGCGTAGATGCAGAAGAACAACAGGCACGAATATGCACAAGAAAGGGCGTACAAGTAAACTTAGAAAATGCACGAAAAAAGACGAAAAAGTCAGGTATGGTTGTAGAATCTCGTATAAATCGTATAGATGAATTACTTAGAGAACAGTGTTGTGATATTGTGAAGCTCACTGCTAGTAAAGATGGTCTACAAATGGATATGGATGACTTTAAGCAATTTAATGAAGAGTTATCGGATTTGTTATTATTGTCTTTGAGTGATTATAATTCTAACATTGAGGATCAAGTGTATTTTGAGGGTATTCGTGAGAAGTACTTAGAGTGCTGTGCTGATGTTAAAACTAGAATAGGTGATTTAACACAAGAGAGATTGGAGATGCTTTCGCAGAAAACTTCGAACAGTGTTAAAAGTCGAATGTCGAGATTATCAAGGGCTTCATCTGTGTCGTCTAAACAAGCCGCTGCGAATGCTGCAGCATTAAAGGAGAAAATGTTCAGTCTTAAAAGGAAACAAAATATCGAAAGACAGCAAGAAGAGCTTAAACATCATCAAAGAGAACTAGAATGGCAAGTGGAACAAGAACAATTACAAGGTGAGATCAATGCTGCAGAAGTTTTACATCAAGCACTTTTGGGAGATACCATGTTGCTAAGTAGTAATACCCAAACCTACATCTAACACTTTGCATGAAAATACCACTGAAATGAGTCAATTGCCAACTATTGCCAAGGATATGAACACTGGGACATCCAGTGACATAACAAATGCCCTAAATCCCACTACACCCCTAAATCCCACTACACCCCTAAATCCCACTACACCCCCAAGTCCCACTACACCCTCGAATCCTATTACAACCCCAAATCCCACTACACCTTCAACTCCTACTACACCCTTAAATCCCACTACACCCCTAAATCCCACTACACCCCCAAGTCCCACTACACCCTCGAATCCTATTACAACCCCAAATCCCACTACACCTTCAACTCCTACTACACCCTTGAATCCTACTACACCCTTAGATCCAACTAAACCTGCATTTACACCAACCTCGTTCCCAGGGTCTCTCCGTCTGTCATCTGGGAGAGACCCTGGCTGCGGCTGGTCACGTGCCTCCCAGATTCTGGGAGGTAAATTTAATTGTAACTGTGAGAGGGGTGGGAAAGGAGAGTGTTTGTAGCGTTTTAAAATTGCAACTTTGGGTGATGAAATTTACTGTTAAATTTGCAACAAGAAATCGTAATTATAAAGAGAACTCTTGAATTATATTTATGTCGTGACGTTCTACTCTATAATCTGGTGTCGAGTTACAATTCAAGCAAGTTGGATCAGATTTCATTATAGACTTGCCAAAGAAAGCACGCTTGCCGCTTGTGCAGCGTGGCAATATTAAACTGTGATTAAACCTACAAGGAAATATATATCTCTAGACCGAACAGTGTGGTTGTTATTTATTTAGTATTAAAGTTTATCCTGATACTCGGACCAAAATAATTTATTTATTGATGAGATGTGGAATTGCAACGAAATAGCGAGATCTTTTGATTTCCGAAATATCGCCAACTGTATCCAGATTGTTGATCTATATAAAGGCCTTATCAAAAAAACTTAAAGCCCGTCAAAACACTATAAAATTGGCCCTTGGCATTGCTGAAACCAACGATCATGGTATATGTCAAAGTATAGCTGTCTGTTGAAAATCTACAGTATTAAAATCATACACCAAAGATAAGTCAAACGGCAAATTATATGTCACTGTATTATACATGTCTTTCAATGAGCACTGTTTAGTAGTGTTCACCACCTTTATAAATTTTGTAAACAGCTTTCGTTTTGACATGAATAAGCTTTAATTTTTTGCTTTATATGCATTCTTAATATATACAAGTGAGATTTAAATTTTTGCTTTGTGAAATAGAATACCGTTATTTTTTAATGGACAGCTTGCATCGTCTATATCATATCCAGGATTGCTTGTGTGTAAACGCATTATTCACTATATGACATTGACACTATCAAATAAATATAAGTAGCAAATGATTAATGAATTAGAGATATACAGGTAATTCACAATGAAAACTTTAAAAATGTTAGTAGAAGTAGAAAACTCGAAAATTTATGTCTATTCGTATGACGCCAAATGACGGTCTGTGCGCATCTGACACTGTAAATTTGTGATATAGATTATAGTATATTAGCACAATATAATGATTAATAGAGACCAAGAAAAAGGCTAAAGTCTTACTATAATTACCGAATACGAATTTATGCAGTAAATCCAGATAAATCAATGACTGAAATTTCCTCTATGCTTATGGACATTTCTCTGTTCGGCTATTATCAAATGTTTACATTTGCTAATATTTGGGCAGTCCTAATCTCCTAGACAATACTGTTTCTTTTAAAAATCTTATAAACAAGACGCGTAGTAACAAGTGAATCGGTGCAAAGCGTATCAACGTTTACAAGAAAGGACAAATGTAATGGCCTATTTTAAAAACATTACAACAAACGTTTGTTATAACCGCGCTCGAGTGTGAAGAGAGCATGCATTGAATAACAACACGAGAGAGCACTGCGAGTAACGATTCGCTTGGTTTCTTGGCTTGACTGTAAGTAAGAATGTAACAATGTTCTTGTAAATTCAAAGCAAAGAAAATAAACAAAAATTAGCAAGTATTTTGAACGTAATAATTCGCAAAATCTATGTTTTTAACGAATATCCCACTAGAAGCATGTTGATGTAATTTGATACTTTCCCCACACCCCCTCAGGCGCTAAATTTTTGATGAAGCACGTGACCAGCCGCAGCCAGGGTCTTTCCCAAAGAAAGATCCTGGGTACGAGGTTGCATTTACACCTGTTAATGCCCATACCCAACCTGTTAACCATTTACAACCAACTACTACTACAAGTCCCCTAGAGCAAATACAAAGAGAGACATTTGAAATTCAAAGACAACAAGTAGAATTAATGAAAAGGATGTCGCTTCCGACTCCGACACCGCCTGTATTTAGTGGTAATATTTTGGCCTACCCAAAGTGGACGTTAGCTTTCGATGCCTTGATTGACGGTGAAGCTGTAAACCCAGCACATACGTTATACTACCTTGGGGAATATACTAGTGGACAAGCCCAGAAAATGATTGATGGATTGTTGGGGCTGCAATCTGATGATGCGTATAAGAGAGCTAGGCAGATATTGCAAGAACGCTTTGGTGATCCATACAATATTTATCAGGCATACAATGAAAGGCTTAAGTCATGGCCAGTATGCAGCAAAGCTTCCGAGCTTCAGGAATTCAGCGACTTTCTGGTAACAGTGCAAGAAACTATGAAAACAGTGAAGCACCTCAAGGACTTTGACACCTTTTCTGCTGTTCAAGACCTGGTAGTAAGACTTCCACCTTATTACAGCAAGAAGTGGTTACAAAGTGCGAAAGCGGTTGAGCTTGTTAAAGGAAAGTATGATTTTAACGACCTAGTTGACTTTGTGCAAAAGGCAGCAAAGGATGCAACTCATCCAGTGTTCTCGCATGAAGTTCTGTTATCTAAGAGAAAGGAGTTGTTGAAAGACAAGAAGCAAGAAGACAAGAATAGTTATCACAAGAGAAAGTTTGGCTCATTCAACACAAGTAAGTACAATGAAAGCTCTGGTCATAGTGATAAGAACATAAATGAACTCATGTGCCCTGCATGTAGAAAGCCTCACAAATTGGAGAACTGTGACATATTCCTAAAGAAGTCTGTAAAGGAACGATCAGAATTAGCTAAGTCGAAAGGGCTTTGCTTCCTGTGTTTATGTCATGGTCATATGGCCAGGAGTTGCAAAGAATCCATTAGATGCCAGACTTGTAAGAAACCCCATGCCACACTTCTCCATTTTGAATCCAAGGAGTCTAAGAACGGGAATAAGAAAGAGAACGAAGAGTCTAGCAAAGAAAAGCCTAAAGTAGCTAATCGTGTCGTAGTGTGTCATAGCAATGATTGCAATGAAGTAACAACATCGTCTTTAATACTTCCGGTATGGATATGTCACAAGGACAATCCTGAGAAGAAAATAATGACATATGCTGTTTTAGATGATCAAAGTGACACATGCTTTGTAACGGACAGTGTTTGTGATCAGTTAGAAATTGAAGGACCTGAGACTGTGATTGAGTTAGGAACAATGCACGCTGTAGAAGATATCAGAACCCAGAAAATTAGCGGTCTTATTGTTTCATCGGAAGATAAGTCAGTAGATGTACCTTTACCAAAAGCTTATTCCCGTAAAAATATTCCAGCACGTCGAGATCAGATCCCTAAGTAGAAATGGCGATCAATTGGAGTCATTTGAGTCCAATTGCCAATGAAATACCAGAATATCGTGATGATCTCGGTATTGGTCTCCTAATTGGTAACAATTGTGTCGAAGCTATCAAACCACGTGACGTTATTCCCGGAAAACCTCAAGACCCGTATGCTACTAGAACTGTATTCGGTTGGGGTTTGATTGGAGTAACAAACCCTGTTGATCACCGCGAATGCCAATCAGACGGAACTAGAATACATTGCCATCGAGTTACAACCAAAGATATCACAACCCAAAGTACCGGTTCAACCTTTGTAGAGCAAACCCAAGTAAAGGAAGTATTGAATCCTCACGAAGTGTTAAAGATGTTTGAACAGGACTTTTCGGAAAAGAAGAGAGAGAAACCAATGTCGTTAGAAGATCGAATGTTCCTGGATATAACGAAAAGAGAGATTCACGTTACTGACGATGGACATTATGAGTTGCCACTTCCGTTTCGAAACGACAAAGTTGAATTACCGTCGAACAGAAAGCTTGCTGAATCAAGGTTAGATGGCCTTAAAGCAAAGTTCGCCAAGGATGTCAAATACAAAAGAGATTATATGCAATTTATGGATGATATGATTAAGAAAGGCTACGCTGAGAAAGCTCCACAGACTGATGGAAAACCGTGGTATATACCTCATCATGGAGTGTACCATACACACAAACCCAATAAGATCAGGGTCGTATTTGACTGCTCAGCCGAATATGAAGGTCAATCATTAAATCAACATATTTTACAAGGACCTGACCTAACGAACTCGCTCACTGGTGTACTTTGTCGATTCCGCGAAGAAAGAATAGCGTTTACGTGTGACATCGAATCCATGTTCTGTCAGGTACGTGTGAATGAAGAGCATCGCGATTACTTAAGGTTCTTGTGGTGGCCTGACGGAGATACATCGAAGGAGCCCGAAGACTACAGAATGCGAGTCCACCTATTTGGAGCAACGTCATCACCCGGATGTTCCAATCTAGCGTTGAAAACCACGACCAAAGCTGGTGAAGAAGAGTTTGGAACAGATGCCACCTCATTTGTCGAAAACTGTTTTTATGTTGATGATGGGTTAAAGTGACTAAGTTGATAAAAAGCAGCATTGAAATGTGCCAGAAAGGCAGATTTCGTCTACACAAGTTTACTGCAAACAAGCGAGAAGTGATCGAGTCCATTCCCGTTGACTACCGTGCTACCGAAGTCAAAGAACTCGATCTGAGTCACGATACACTTCCGATCGAACGAGTGCTAGGAATGGAGTGGTGCATCGAAAGTGATTCTTTTCGGTTTCGCATAACCTTAAAGGACAGACCACTTACAAGACGCGGGGTTTTGGCAACTATAAGTTCCATTTATGATCCCCTCGGACTCGTTGCCCCTGTTCTACTCACTGGAAAAAAGATCCTACAAGCCCTGTGCAAAGAGAATGCTGATTGGGATGACCCTCTGCCAGAAAAGCTTAGAATAGAGTGGGAAAGATGGAGAAAGGACATTCATTTGTTGGGAAACATGAAAGTTGAAAGATGTTACAAACCTGAGAGCTTTGGAGATGTGAAGAAAACTGAACTTCATCATTTCTCTGACGCAAGCTGTGAAGGGTACAGTCAATGTTCGTATATAAGATTGGTTGATGATAGCGATAGAATCCACTGTTCGTTAGTTGTGGGCAAATCTCGTGTGGCGCCACTGAAACAAGTTTCGATTCCAAGGTTAGAGCTAACAGCCGCGGTTGTTTCTGTCAAAGTCAGCGCCATGCTTCGAGAAGAACTCGATTATAAGAGCATCGAAGAGATATATTGGACAGATAGCAAAGTCGTTTTAGGATATATTAACAATGATGCGCGTCGCTTCCATGTATTCGTAGCTAATCGCGTCCAACAAATCAGAGATCATTCGTCAAAGGATCAGTGGAATTACGTTGAGTCAAAGTTAAATCCAGCTGATGAGGCATCCCGAGGTTTAAAGGCCTGTGATATTGTGAGCGATTCGAGGTGGATAAAGGGTCCGTCATTTCTATACGAAGCTCACCAAGATTGGAATCATTTTAACCAACCGGATGACAAAGCAAAGCTGGAAACAGATGATGTCGAAGTAAAGAAAGTCACAACCTTTGCAACATCTGTGAAAAAATTCGCGGACGTGGTAGAGAGATTAGAATACTTTTCGAGTTGGCACCGAGCCAAGAAGACCATCGCTATTTGTCTTCGTTATCGCAGATTGTTACGTCAAAGGGTACGTAAGAAAAGGGAGGAAAAGGATGTCGAGAACATTGAGAAAGCAGCAACTGTTATGAAACCTGACCAAGCTGTTACTGTGGAAGAAATGAATGCTGCTGAACGGGAAATAATCAAGGCACTGCAGAAAGAAGAATTCAAACAGGAGATAAGCTCGTTAAAGTCAAAACCCAAAGTCAATGTCCCGGAAACTCAACGACGGCGAAATACGGTAGCTAGAACTAGCCCGATTGCTAAACTCGATCCCTTTATGGACGAACATGGAGTTATACGAGTAGGAGGAAGAATTCGAAGATCGATCTAGTATGGACGCTAATATCAAGCATCCGGTAGTCTTACCAAAGAAAGCTCACGTTTCGAAGCTGATAGCAAAACATTTTCACCAGAAGATTGATCATCAAGGACGAGGGATAACTTGGAATACGATACGTGCTTCAGGATATTGGATCGTCGGTTGCAAAGATGTTGTAGCTAAACTTATCAAAGATTGCGCCGTTTGTCAAAGATTTCGAGCGAGTGTCAAAGATCAGAAAATGGCAGATCTTCCGAAAGAACGGGTTGAGACCTCACCACCATTCACATACAGTGCGGTCGACTATTTTGGACCATTCTACGTAAAGCAAGGCCGGAAAGAATTAAAACGATACGGTGTATTGTTCACGTGTTTAGCCTCAAGAGCTATTCATCTAGAAGTTTCTCACACTTGTAATGTTCGTGGTTTTGTATCAATATCAAGCACTTTTAAGTATAACAATAGATATCAAACAACTTGTACAAACAGCATAGTACGTATCCAATTACTTCCCGGTTTCCTAGCCTCGTGCTTCTAAAATACTTAACTAACTTTCTAGTCACGTGTGTGCTAGTGTCAATAATGTCAACATTGCATCCCTCCCTTGATTTAAATATGAACTCTAGTACTAACTATAACAAAATATGCATATAATGTTTAAACTGTATCTTATCTGTTTTAGTCCAGGTCAATCATAAATGTTATTTCCATATCTGTACACCCGCTGTCTTTCTCTTGCCGGATATCTCGGACCATCATCTTGTCTCTGACCATTGTTCTGCCGCGGACGATCATTCTGTCTCAGTCCATCATACTGTTCATGCTCTTCGTGGACATCTTCATCTGAGGAATAATTTTCTTCATCCATTATCTCTGTTGACTCCAACGATCTGCCATGTCTGGGGTGATACTTTTTAAAGAACGAAATGTTCCGAGTTATATATTTCCCATTCCTAATTGCTGTGATTCTGTTCCCACGGCGATTTGTGACTTCATATGGTATTGGATCGTATTTTGTGGACATTTTATTTGCTTTCGGTTGCCGCACCAAAACTAAATCACTTTTCTTGATGTCAGCACACTTGACTCTTCTTTTGGAATCAGCATATTCTTTTTGGTTCATTTTCAACCTTTCATCTCTCTCCTTCACCTCTTGATGAAGTGAAGAATCATTTTCGACTGTCACTTGAGGTAATTTTGTTTGAATCTTACGGTTGTATAGCAACTCGGACGGTGACTTGCCAGTGGTGGAATGTGGGGTAGCTCTGTAGTTGAGCAAAAATTTAAACATTTCACGTTTCCAGTCTTTGTTTTCATGATGGGCAGATTTCACAGCCTTTACAAGTGGTTTCATAAAGTTCTCGGCTTGTCCATTTCCTTGGGGCCATAATGGTGAGCTTGGTTTATGTTTAATGCCGAGTTCTTTCAAGTACAGACTAAATTCATGGCTCTGGAATGGTGGACCGTTATCACTCTTTAACACCTTTGGAATACCATGTGTGGCAAAAATTCGTTCAAGTTTCAATATTGTTGATTTTGCAGATGTTGAACTTACAATTTCCACCTCTGGAAATCGTGAATATGCATCAATAATCACTAACAGATATGAACCACCTAGAAATGGTCCACAAAAATCAATGTTCACTGTATGCCAGGGTTGGGGAGGCAGCGTCGTCATTCGCAGTGGTTCTTGGTGACTGTTTGGTCCATTTGCCTGACATAACAAACAAGTATCCACTGTGTGCTTAGCAAGCTTGTCTATACCTGGATACCAAACCTTCTCTCGCAACAACTGTTTAGTTTTTACTAGCCCTTGGTGGCCTTTATGAGCAATTTGAACAGCCTTTAGTCTAAGGCTTTCTGGAAGCACAATTCGCGAGCCTCGTAATATAATTCCATCATGCTCGTTTAGTGTAAGTTCTGTTTTAATTTTCTCACATGCTTTCAAGTCCAAAACCTTTACATTGGGATTGGATTGTACGTCTAGAGAGTCTATTTAAATGCCATTTACCTGTTGTGATGAGGTTGCTTAGGATCTGTAATGTTGAATCAGCCACGGTGGCTTGTTGTATTTCAGGCAGAGTCATTGCTCTTGGCACAGCATGTTGGGTAAGGAAACAAACATAATTGTCAGCCATTGTTTGGAACTGTCTGTCATCAGTGGTGTTGTTAACAGGTAAATGTCGAGATAGGAAATCTGATGGATTGTCAAGTCCCTTTGTATACCTTACATTAAAGTCATAATCTTGCAAGCGTAAATTCCATCTCTCAATTCTGGCTGGAGGTCTTGATTGTGGATTATTTAAAATCAACTCGACTGGTTTGCAATCAGTTATCAGAGTAAAATGTCCTCCGTATAGATAGATATGTAAACGTTCAATTGCCCACACAATTGCAAGAGCTTCTCGCTCTGTTTGACAGTATCGTCTCTCAACATCCGACAGCGAACGACTGATATATGCAACAACATTTTGTTGGTCTGATCCTGGGACTTTCTGTGTCAGAATAGCTGAGAGACCAAAAGGTGATGCATCAGTGATAAGTTCTGTTTCCTTGGTTTGATCAAAATATGCCATAACTGTTGCACTTGTGAGGGCAGCTTTTACTGCGTTGAAGGATTTAGCATGCCTAGATGTCCAGCAAAAAGGCACATTTTTTCTCGTTAATTCTCGCAAAGGCTCTGTGAGATCACTGAAATTAGGGATAAATTTCGCACAATATGTCACCATCCCAAGGAAACTCCGAACAGCTTTAATTGAATTTGGAGGTGGGCAGTTGTGAATTGCTGAAACCTTCGCTGGATCCGGTGAAATACCATCACCTGAGAAGACAAAACCAAAAAACATGAGCTGCGATTGACTGAACTCACATTTGTCTTTGTTGAAGGTTAATCCAATGAGTGAAAACCGCTCAAAAATTTCATGAAGAGCTTTGTCATGCTCAGCTTGTGTTATGCCAAAGATAATTATGTCATCACTAATGTTGATGGCATTCGGAATGTCACGGATTTGTTCGCTAATTACATGTTGGAAGATTTCACTTGCCGAATTGGTGCCAAAATTCAACTTCTTATAGCGGTAGAGTCCTTTGTGCGTTACAAATGTGGTTATGTGTCGACTTTCCTCAGCGAGAGATAACTGGTGGTATCCCGAGCGAAGATCAAGCTTTGTAAATATGGTGGCGCCGTTTAATTTGTGAATTAAATCATCCACAGTTGGGGTCGGATGTCTTTCGCGTTGAATTGCCTGATTAGCCATGCGCATATCAATGCATAGCCTGATCTCACCATCTTTCTTTGGGATAACAACTAATGGACTGACCCAAGGAGTGGCATCTGATACTTTTTCAATAATTCCATCACTTTCTAACGTGTCGAGCGCATCTGAGACCTTTTGCCGCATGTGGAAAGGAATACGACGGGGGGTTTGTGCTACTGGAGGCACAGTATCATCAATGTGCAATTTAAAGTGCCACTGCGATGGAAAATTGTGCTGTCTTTTTATTGTATATTCAGAAAGTATGTCTGTAGATAAACAAAATTACCGAATATCAGCGTCCAATTCCATTTCCTTCTGCCTTTTTTTTCAACGCAAACATGCAAATTTTTCGGCCGCCATTACTGAGTTGCCAATTAGCGAGATGTTGATTTCTTAGCCGGATGTGACGTCATTTACTCAACACGCTTCTTTCCCGAAGGAGAAATTAATATTATCAAAGGCTTATTCTAGGCTGTTTTTTGTTCAAAATTATGTCTTCTGACGAAAGCCACAGCTCAAATTTTGCAACACAATCATCTTGCGAACTATGATACTTCAGTCGAGCCTGTCGAGGCTCTTGCCACTGAAAAAACATAAAACACGAAAAGTACTATAACTGAGAGAGAGCAAGAGCAGCAAACACTGTCTGCTGGATTGTCTGGGGAAACCTTAACGGGTACCTGGTACGTTTTGGATTGTATTTATTTACGTTTTGGTTAATATATTTGTGACATAAAAGATGATAAAACAAACATGTGATGGCCATGTTTAACAAAACAAATGGTCACTGGTCTCCTTATAAAAAATCATTGTCACCTCCGTTATATTGCACGAAACGTCTTCAATGAGAGATGGCTTAAAGATGACTGTGTTGCCAAATTGGAAATCCTAACTCACGTAAGAACACATATTAATTTACACAAAGTTGTGGGAAATATATTTCAATTATATATATTAATATCAATATATTATAAACTTCAATAGTATACTTCAATAGTAACTGTGTCCTGGCTCATTGTTGTTTATGTGAACCTTGTAAGAAAAAATGCTGGAAGAAAACATGCATGACCAGCATTTGATATTGGTTGTATTTGAATACCCTCTGGAAATATCAAGACTTTTAGTATACCCCCATTCCATTGGAAATCTTGATGCAATGGTCAACACCACCCCCTATCCTCTTGAATTTCCGATCTCTTCCGTAGCAGGGTGGGGGGAGGGGGAGGCGGGGGGTATGGCTATTTCCTGGAACTATGCAATTTGACTGAGTCATGTAGGAGTAATTTTTGGCATTAAGCATTCCCTCAAAAGGCAACCCCCAGACATATTTGCATGTTTTTCTTTAAAAAGAATGACTACCAGGTAGGTTGGTGAGAAAAAGAGCACTCCCTACTCTGGCGATGAGTGGTAAGAAATTCTCATCAGCCAGGGGCAGCCAAACTGATACAATGTCATGATCTGAGTATCATATTCTGAATTTAGTAACGTTTGAATCCCTGTAAAGGTGAGCAAGGTACTGAAATATCCTGTCATGTGAACAAGAAAACTTGAAAAGCCTATAGCTAAGTTGTATGTAAGCCAAACAAGGATCTTGTATTATGAATCCTGGTGTTTTTGTGCAGAACACAGCTCACAAATAACATGATAGTTTTTGGATTACTAAATTTTAAAGCTGTCATGTTAATATATAAATTTTCTTTTTG